CCCAATGGAACGGCATCTGCCAGCGGATGAATCAGGCCATATGCCACATCCAGACCCCAAACTGTCTTGGCCAGAATGTTCCGATCGTCTGAGGGCTGCGGGTCCGATATGGCCTTGAAACTGACACCCTCCATTTGAATTCCGCACACATCGCCATGAGGGCTCATTTGATCACGCAGGTTGATGTCGATTTCCATCAGCTTCCCAATACCTCTACTCACCATGTATGCCTCAATGTCAACGTTGGTCGAGCGATTAGGACCCCGGAACCTTTCATTTGGATTTACGACAACCCTTTTAATCCCAACAGGAAGGTAAGAGGAGGCCATGGAGTTTTCAGCGGCAGATAAAAAGGTTGAAAGCCCTGCTTGAAGGGCGACGTCTAGAATGGCAGGATGCAGCGTGCAGTCAATATTGAGATCTTCTATAGACCACGAGGCACCTGCCTTGGCGTGACCCCAGCATCTGTTGAGCAAAGTCAGTCCACGAAAAGGACCTTGATATTGAAAGCCCATCTCCGAAGCCGCGCCATAGAATCGGTCAATGTTGAACGGGGTGAGGTTGACCTCGGAGATGCAGACCGGCGCCAAGTCTGCCGACTCGAATTCGCCGAGGTGAATACGCAACCGGCCGTGGCAAGTTCTGTCGGCATCGCGCTGATCAGGATAACTGTAGCATGCGAACTCGGCCTCCAAAACACAGCCAGCCTCAACGTTCTGGGGCGAGACATGACTGCGAATGATGAACAAGACCTCGACCTCGTCCCTCTCGCCAATGGCTAATGCTGTAGTGATCAACAAATCCTCTACTTGGATCAGTTTGATCGCTCTTCCTTTGACAAAGGCTTTGGCGGCATCCACAGCCAAACTAATGTAGCCAGTCGCGGGGAACAGAACCTGGTTTTGAAAGACGTGCCCCTTGAGCCAGGGCATCTCGTGGAGCAGGAAGATGTTGCGCCATACCTGCTCGTACTGGGAATCATTCCACAGGCGGCCGAGGAGGTCATGGGGGAGTTGTTTGCCGAGACGGTAATTCTGAACCACGCGTGACTCTCGCCAGTGAATCTGCGTGTGATCCCAAGAGTACGGTGGTAGGTTTTTGATGGTCTGCGGCTGGGCGACAAGGCCAAACGCTCTTCGCCATCCACCAAAGTCAATCGAAGACGGGGAAATAGTCCAAAGAGCTGCAAGTGCCTCTGCGAATGTTTCTATACTGTCTCCATCTCGACTCAGCAAAGGAGCATAGTGTGGAGTGTAATCAATAGACTGCGTCAGGGTCTGCTTCAACGGGCCTCGCAAGGCGGGATGAGGCCCAACTTCAATTGCAGCGGAAAACTTTGTCGATGCGTCTTGTACGGCCAACTTGACGGCTTCCGAAAAGTAGACGGGTTGCACCATGTTGTCAAGCCAGTACTGGCCCTCTAGCCCAAACTGTGGAGGGTTGGCGAGGATATCCGTATTGGTCTTTACACTGGAATACCAGGGACAGTCGTCATCACTTGCAGGAGTCAGTACACGCACATTGAGTTGTTTGAGATGGGCTGCATAAGCGTCTACACATGCAAGCATCTGGTGTGAATGGTAGGCCGTGTCGACCTGAAGAACTCGGGCTTGGATGTTGCGCTCATCCAGGACTCTCTTGGCCTCCACGACGGCGTCTGCATCGCCAGACAGCGTTGTGCTTGAAGGAGAGTTACTGGCTGCGATGGTGATTCTGCCTTTGAATTGCTGCTCAGAGCATAGCGCCATGGCGTCATCAAGGGACGTGGCGACCGCCATCATGCCGCCTGATCTCCCACCGTTTCCTTGGGCGAGATGAGCCACGTGGCCTCGATAGTAAGAGATTCCCATGGCATCCCTCCTGGTGAGGAGGCCTGCCGCGTATGCTGCTCCAATCTCACCAGATGAATGGCCAACAACAGCACAGAAGCGGATTCCGCTGGCGCGTAAAAGGTCAACAAGACCAATTTGCACGGCTGTGCAGAGCGGTTGCGAGAACTTTGCCTGCGACGCGCGTGATGTTGCGGCATCAGCAGCCAGTTCCTCGGCTAAAGACCATTCGGGGGGGTCTGGGATCAATTTGAGGGCCAAATCACACTGCCTGATTGAGTCTTGAAAGAGTTTGCAATGTTGCAGCAGTGCGTAGCCCATCCGGGGCGCTTGTGCACCCTATTTAATCGTTAGAAATATGTGCTCATCATGGGGCTGCAAATATGCACATGGCGGCGAGGTTTGGCTTACTTGGCCAGTGAAAACACCAAGAATTCTCGGCTCATCGCCAGTACCACCACCAAGCGGGCTAAGAGTCGATGTTGCTACAGTGTTGACTTGGTCCTCCAACCTTTGAATCAAGTCATCGCGATCCAAAGCTGAGGGGATAGTAACTCGATACGGGAACACCGATCTCTTGGAATGTAGACTGTTGCTCAAAGAGTCAAGGTCCAGGGACGAGTTTGCACGCAGGTGACCAAGTAGCTTTTTGAGCGACTTGAGCAGTGAACTGGGAGTTCTGGCCGAGAACACAAATGGTCCAACCAGCCTTCCCCCGACCATAGTGGTGTGTACACTTGACGAAAGGGGGGATGGAGATGCGGCATCAGAAGGCTCGTAGCTCTCAAGAATAGCATGAGCGTTTGTCCCGCCGAAGCCGAAGCTGTTGATACTTGCTCTGCGAGGCTGGCTGTGTGTCTCTGGCCAAGGCAAAAGCGATGTGGGTATTTCCAGGTTATTGTAGAATGGTTCAACTCGCGGATTGAGCTGATGGAAATGCAAATTGGGAGGGATCGCTTTGTTTTGAATTGCCAACGAGGCTTTGATCAGTCCTGCCAATCCAGCACAGCCTTCGAGATGACCGATGATGGTCTTGATGGAGCCACAATAAAGAATGTCATGTTCCTTGTGCTGCCCATTGGGGAAGAAGGCATCTCTGATTGCCTGGGCTTCAACAGGATCACCGGCCTGGGTGCCGGTGCCATGACACTCAAAGTACTGACATCTATCGGTGATGGGGTCCAAGCCTGCTACCCCATATGTTTCTCGGATCAGGGCGGCTTGTGCTGTTGGAGTTGGCATGGTGATTCCGTTACTGCGGCCATCAGAGTTGACGCCCGTTGCTCTGATAACACACTCTATATTATCGCCATCGGCGATTGCCTTACTGAGCGGCTTCAGCACCACGGCGGCGCAGCCCTCGCCTCGAGCATATCCACTAGCGTCTTTATCCCACATACAAGAGTGAGAATCTGAAGAAAGCATGTGCATGGACGACTCGGCAATGTACCAAATCGTGTCCATGAGCAAATTTGTTCCGGCCACCACAGCTTGAACAGCCTCGCCCGAGTGAAGGCCTTGAATGGCAAGGTGGAGGGCGACCAGTGAGCTTGAGCAAGCCGTGTCAAGTGTCAAGGACGGTCCTTGGAGATTAAAGGCGTAAGATATGCGATTGGACAAGATGGCCCGAGATAACCCGGTAGCCGCGTGACTCCCCAGCATATCCGGGTCTCGGGATGAAATCAGGGTATAATCGTCTGTCATGACTCCAACATGGACCGACGTTGGCGAACCGTCAACATGGTTGAGAGACCACCCCGCCGACTCGAAGGACTCATAGACCGTCTCCAAGAGAATCCTCTGCTGAGGATCCATATCAGCCGCCTCTTTGGGGTTGATACGAAAGAAGGCAGCATCGAAGTGCCGAACATCTTCTTCCAGTAAATATGATTTGTGATGAACATTTGTGCGGCCGTGCGTTTCGCCGTTTTCGTTGTAAAAATTTACCATATTAAGTCTTTCTAATGGGAAATCTTTGACGACATCTCTAGGCTCTTTCAGCAGGTCCCATAGCCTAGACGGCGAGTTTGCTGCACCAGGGAATCGGCATGCCGTCCCTACAATCGCCACGGGCTCATACATGATATGACGGAGTCAGGTTTAAGCTGAATGATGCTGAGTGTTAGTCCTTGTTGTCTTGGATGAAAATATAAAGAGGGTGGTCTTCAGTAACGAAACTTGCTCTAAAATTCTTGTCTCTACTTATAATGGTGAGTTTGAAATCAAAGTGAGCCTCAATTTGTACAACAGATAGAGGCACTCCTATCCGCATGCTCATACTTGTTACTAAACCTGAAGAAGTGGCCTGAACGTAAAACAGCTTGCCACCTCGCTCGGTCTTATCGGATCAAAGTCACAGCTTTCTCTTGTAATTCTATACATATGTAACGAAACAACCAGGGTCTTACTGAAGAGGGCCACGGGTATCTCCGGACAATGTGACGAAGACCACAATTTCGTACTCTTCAGGCATTGCGGCCGATGTATCACTATAACCAGCCGCCATAATACAAGTATCAGTACTATCAATTGATGGTTACGGGTGTTGTTTCGGCCGCGGACTCTGGGCCTTCGTAGATGGATTTATTTCTTGGCGGATGACGTGAGACTGGCTTACAGGGAAAGGAAAGATATGCGTCTATCTCCCCGGAAAGGTGACCCACGGTATGTCGTATGACATTATATGTCGATGTCAGCTCAAACATATAGAGGGAGACACGGCAGCTCTTGGTACGCGCGAGGTTGGTGCTGCCGTTGGCGATGTGCCATTTGTTGTCAATATGAAAGCGTCTTTCTATGTAGAAGCAAGTTCCGGCTGACCCGGCCTGAGCCTCAATTTAGCCCGAGGCTACATCCTTTGTCCCCCCGAAGTTGCATGCCTGGAGTCGGTAATGCAACCCAAGCTGCTTTTGGAAACCTCTGACCACTTCTCGTCAGCGAGTGACGGTATAGGTGTTGGGCATTTTGGATATTCTTGAATTGAAGAGTCAAGCTATCGCGAGGCTATTTAGCAGTGTATCTACTCAGGAGTCAGGCGGCAATGGCAGAAAGAGAGTCCACCCCTTGGATATCGGACACGATGTGGTCAATTGATGCCAAGATAAAAAGACATCAGTGTAAATCTAAGTACGTCTAAAACAGGGAAACGTCACTATCCATCCAATTCACCACTCAATGAGCTACATGACCCAAGACCTCCAACGTTTCGAGGCATCTTCTAATCGCTTTCGAGATTTCGGGTATGTGTTGAAATGAAAACATGCCGAAGTGGTCGCCCTGTACATCCATGACCTCGGTGAACAAGTCCTTCTCATAGTTATCCCATCCCAGAGTCTGATTGTCTCGATAAATATCTGCAACATGTACCCTACCAGTGACTGTTGGTATTGGGTCGAGAGCTCGCAGCAACGAAACCCGAGGCCGCTGGTCACGTTGGGTACCAGTCCAAACGGGAGGATCCCATTGACGGATGATTCCAATTGCTTCCTTCATGGCCTGTATGCTGAGAAACATATTTTTTGATTTTCCCGGGTCCAGGTTATCGAGAGCGTCGAGAGGAAGCGACGGCGGATCAACCGTGTACATACTATCCATCATCAACACGCCAATGACTTTGACTCGGCCGTCGCCAGTGAGCAGTTTTGCAATTTCCAGACTCAAGAGACCGCCCATGCTCCACCCGCCGATGAGGATATTCACACTTCGGTCCAAGTTGCGCTCGGCCGGGAAGTCAGGCCGGGCGCAAGTCCGTCTGATGATTCCGGTATACAGACGTGCCATTCCTGACACGCCGCCCTCAAATGTTTGTCCGTTGCGAAAATGGGGATTGAAAATACCATAAGTCGGCCTACACAGAGAATCTAGGCAATGGTAGGCGAATGTAGTACCGCCACCGTCATGAATAAGGAAAACAGGCACCGGCATGTTTCGTGCATCATCACCCATCCAGTTCCCGTCCTGAATGAGCTCGGGATTTTTGTCCATGGTGTAGCTGCTTTGTCTTTCGGCTTGGTTTTGCTTGACTATGAATAGTGGGCAGAGGGAAGACCGGGGGGGGGGAAGTCAAGAGCATGCGAGGAAGAGCGAGATGGAACCTTTCTCTGATATTGTATTGTCGGTAGGCTCTTCGTATAGGAGCCAACAAGGCAGAAGCCTCATGATGGTGGTCAGACGTGCTTACTCGATCGTCCCATGTCCATCTCGTCGGTAAGTACACTTGTGTTTATGCAAGAGCTGTAAACTCCCACTACCAAGCCGCCGATGCCAACGACAGGCTGGCCTGGGGGGAGGCGAAGCGATGAGAGCGCTGCTGACAATGATGATGTTGACTTGACCCCACTATTACTACATGTATTGATGATGATGGATTTAACTCTGTAGCGTCCCTTCGAAGACCCTACCGAAGGCCGGCTTGAAACACCAAATTGCGAGGTTCCCGATGCTAAACACGTGAATGGCACAGGTGCTTGCCAACGTTTCGTATTCCCTCTACTCGGCCACTAATTTTATTCCCGGTTTGCCTAATAAAGTACCGGGACCTGCAGCCGACCAGCCTTGTTATTAGCCACCAGTTGTCGTGCAATGGGTTTTGACACTACATGCAACAGGCAGGGTGGTTCGGGTCCAGATCCGAGATGTATGTGATCTGCAAAGTTAATTTCCCGCGTCCCGGAGCTCCGTCAGTCCATCAGCCGCGCTGCCGCAACCCCTATCTACGGCCAGGGCATTTCGAGCATCGGCCGTGGAAATCGCGCCTCCGGGAATTAGAAAAGACGCCGAAACGCCACCGCGACAAAGTCACACGCCTCCATCACGGAATCTGTTTGATCCTTATCCAAAAGTCGCAACACCGACAACTAGCTAACCACACACACTGCTTGGAAATCTTGGAGGCCCCTTCATTGCCGAGGGTGGTCAGAAATGCACCCAACAGCTGCTTGATTGGTAAGCCAGCCTCCTGCTGCACAAACAGTATAGTCAAATTCTATTCTGGCTGCAAGTAACCTTGAGGCTTCTTGTTGTGGAGCTTGAAAGATTGACGTGTTACATTTGCTACACATGGAAGAAACTAAGGTGTAGCAGGCGACACGTCAGCGTCAGCCCAAGTGTTGAAACCGGACAGCGCGGGACCGACACAATTTCCCATCGTCGAAACTTATAGTTGGACACGTAGTTTTCTGGTCGTAGCCATTACAAGTGCGCCGTGGACAAATTTCCTCCGCGGGAAGGCGGCACAGTTTGGCGTGCTGGCCGGTCAAACGCCCAAGCCTGGCGTTGGGCAAATAGCAAAGCGTGGCGTAGCATTGATGAGCAGTCGAAAATGTTTCCGGTGGCTGTGACATGTGAGAGATGTCGACCACAAAAGGCAAAATTTACCTTGTGGTTAGCAATGTGTTCATCATGCCACCTCTTGCCGTACTTCTGATAGCATGTCCACAATCTTTGGCCACCGGAATTTGTTTGTGCAACAATCCATCCAATAGCCTCCCTCGGCGCTTTCCCCAAGAATCACTACGCATTCGTACGTGTTGATTCCGGAAAAATGACTCTGCACATAGGACGGTCGGCCGCTCTGTTCAGTCGGCTGTCCCTTGTCCGAGACGGGCGGTACAATGGCCGACGAAAAGTCCACTTCAAAGAGCTTCGCCTTGGACCAATTGGAGAAGGTGACGAGGTGCATTCGGTGGTTCCCAAACAGGGGGGGGAGTCTCTGCCAGGACTGTCTTGTCAACGCGACAAAGGCTTCGACCTGCTCTCGCGTACCAAGATTGATGATGGAGCGACGCACCTGTGAAGCCAGGTGGCCAAGGGGCTTGGTGACTATGTCCTTCACAGACGTCAGAGCAAAGACTAGGCCTGTAGAGTTTGAGAGAAACGGCCGACCACAAGGTAGCAAATCCTCGGCCAAGACGGTCCTCAGGGACATTACATTCACCAGCGCTACAATCTTTCCCGGGTAGTTTCTCATCAGAGAGGTTGAGAGATGGGCCCACCAGGCGCATAGCGTGTCTCCTTCACTCACAAACATGTTCTTGTCCTCATCTTCATTGTTCGTGGCTAGGCCCTCAAGTGCCTTTTCTCGAAGCGATTTCATATACCAGCCAGGGATGTAGAGTATGCGATGCTGCGGCTTGGAAATGAGAGACCAAAACCAAGACTGCAACCAGTGAAATAAGACGGAAAGCAAAGACATTCGGTGATGCCGGAGGAGGTGCGGTTCTGACGGATGACGGCCTAGCTCTGCCAAGGGATCGCTGGTAGTTTCATGTGGCGCTTGAATGTCATCAGGTTGTTGGCGTAGCATCAAAGTCCACGCATTGACGAAATCCACCAGTCCCATAATATCGAACAATACGTGAGGCCATGATATGGCCAATGTCGTTGCGTCAGTGAACTTGGTTATACGTAGGGCTAGAAGAGGTTCGTCGGCATAGAAGTAATCGTCCAGCTTCGCAGGACCAGCAGCATCGTGCCACAGGCTCTCAAAATGGACGGGATCAGCCACGACGGCCAGGTCCTTACTCATCTCTGGCAGCCGTGACGCGACCGAGTGCTCCGATCTTTTCACAGCGTGATCAACTACCGAATATCTCATGGCTGGGCGGTCGGGGCCAAACAAAGCAGGAATGTGGTACTCCAGACATCCGTTGGTCTACAGGAAACACTGTAAGCAAGAATTTGCTTTAAAAAAACTTGAAAAAAAAATGGTGCAGGTTGGGCTTCTTACATTGAACCGCAACCTGGCCCCAAGTTTGCGCCAGCCCGGCCGCTCAATGACCCTTTCGAAGGCGCTTCTCAACTTTTCTGAATCGAGGACATTGTCTACAACAAACATACAGGTGACGATGCCCTCGTTGCGGTATACAATGTTGTCGTCCAAGTCTCCCACCATTACAATGGTATCGGTTGGTATTTGGGGCCGGGGGAGTCTTCTTCCTGTGAGATGAAGCATTTTGGTAGTTACATATACCGTAGCGTCTGCTACAAGGAAGAGCGTCTGCTACAAGGAAGCGGAAGAAGATGAACAAGTTCGATGTTCTTGATTAGAACGTAAAGGCGGGTTGGAGCTACGCAATTACCGAGTACATAACGGACGTTGAGAGTCTGGCTCGACCGAAGCTCGCGTCTAGCGGATTTGGATAAAGTTTATGACTGTGCTCCTCGAACTCATCACTTATGGATGGTTGAATTTACTCCAATCCTGAAAAGAAGGAGGGAGGGTCGATGTAGAAATTGAACAAGGCGGACGAATTGGTGGAGAGGCTGCCCGATGGCATATAAATCCAACGTCAGCACTTGTTAGCACTGCAGATCAATTGATATTGCACTTTGCATGCAACGAGACGCGTAGGTGACATTCGTGCCTCAAATGCCTCAATCTCATGCCCTTCGATGTTGCTGGTTGCGGTGACGACTACTTTGAGTTTATTCCGTCTCGACGCACCAGGCGTCTACAATATCCTGCTCCTGGCTGCCTACATTCCTGGCTATATGTAGCAGCAGTGTAACTTGGCAGAACATTGATTGATTGCACTGCCGATTCCAGTACCCTGTCATCTCTCTACCGAGTCGCGAGGTCACCGTCAGGCCATTGAGCGCACAGGGCTCAAGACTTGTAGCACTGCTTCAACCTATTTTGCATCGCAACACTACAACACTCTGCCGTCTGACCAAACATAGGACCCCCCAAGGTGACATTTGCCTTGACGACCAGTCATGTCGACCCGCCAATCTGCCTTGGTAACAGGCGCCAGCAGGGGAGGCCTTGGTGACGCCCTTGCACAAGAACTACATGCAAGAGGGTTTAGAGTCTTCGCCACAGCCCGGACACTGCCCAAAGTCCAGCACCTGAAGGATCTTGGGATGGACGTTGTCAAGATGGACGTTGCAGACTCGACGTCGATTAGAAATGCTGCTGCACAAGTCGCATCTCTCGCTGGAAACAGGCTTGACATCCTCATCAATAATGCCGGAACTGGTGCGTAATAGGCAGTCTCTGATGGCCAATTTGTGTTACTAAATAGTTCTTCTAGGGTACCAATCTACGCTGTTAGATGCTGACATTGAAACTGCGAGGCAGTTGTTCAATGTCAATGTATTCGGTGTGCTGGACGTCACCCAGGCGTTTGGCCCGCTGTTGATTGCATCCAAGGGCATCATTGTGAATGCTGGCTCCGTCTTGGGCAGGGTTCCAATGCCATTCTGTGGTGTTTACAACGCTAGCAAAGCGGCTCTGGATTCCTTGTCAAAACAGATGCGAATCGAGCTCGCTCCTTTTGACATTCGCGTTATACACGTATGGCACCGCCGCACCTGTGATTCCGTCCGCCATTTTCTTTTGTCTGCCTTTTTTTTTTTCGTTTCCTTTTTTTCCTTGTCCTGGCAAGCGTGTAGGCTGAGTGGGTTACAGGTCAATGCTGGCGGCATCCAGTCGGATTTTCTATCCCATGCTGCTGGTCCGAAGGGCCTTCCTGACAAGTCACCTTACTATGCCGGACACGGCGTTCTAAATCCGTGGATCAGTGGGGAAATAACTCGTAGCAAGTATCAGCCCAGTAGGCACTCAGCCAGGCAGCGACTGGCCGCTTCATTTCAATGCTGACGTCGGGTTAGCGAGACGGCAAGATTACGCCAAAAGCGTCGTGGATGCCATCGTCAAGCATAATCCCCCATCCTGTTTGTGGACAGGTTATTCCGCCTGGGTTATATGGTTTACCACTAGCTTCCTGTGGCGGGATGCAACAGTACGTTGCTGGTTCCCTTTGTCTTGGTGTATTTCAGCACTAACTAGAGCCAAGGATTTGATGATGTGGGCAATGGGAGCGCCAGATATAAAGGTAGCCATCTCCTTCAACGAGTAAATGTGTAATATGTAAAGCAGAGACAGTCAACCTTTACGAAATACTTTGACACCCAAGTTAGGCTGGATCCTAGTTGTAGCATGCCAAAAGAAGAAACCATCACTTTTCAACTCAATGGCTCCTGTATGTGTGGATACAAGAGGCACTGGGGCCCTGTTTTTTTATTTTATGTTTTAAAAGTTTATTATATTTATATATAACGTGTTAGCCTTTCTAGATATACACATAATATGCGGCTCGCAATTATCGGCCTGTAGCTTTTTTATTTGTTTGACTGGCCTATCCGGCCCTCAAGCTGTCTAGTTACCGCAAGACTAGTCGATCGGAAGCAGCTCCGCATCTTGCTAATCAAATGCGTAATAATAGATGCCGTGCTATCGATTCCTTGGTGTACGGTGCATGCCGCATCAATACATCGCGCAACTTCGTCCATGGAGCCGAGGGTGCCATGCCAACATCCCAGCATCAACTCGCGCAGTGGCAGCTGGTCAACCGCAGGGAAGCGTTGTTCAGCGTACAGCTGCCGGACTGTCTCATCTCGTTCCAGGCAGTCTTTGAGCTCATGGTAGGGAGGTTTGCCGGTCAAGATTTCGAATACGGCGCAGCCAAAAGCGAAGATGTCAGTCTCTAAGCTCGGACACATGGATCCTCGGCGATTGTACCAGTTGTAGCCTGCAAGTGCTTCGCTACCATCAATGCTGCATCCTCCAAAATCGATGACTTTGACGCGATCCTCGACTAGTATCATGTTTGTACAGCCAAAATCAGCGTGGACGATTCCGCTCCGATGGATATGTCGTAGCCCTTCTGCAGCGTCTCTTATCCATTGCAGCTTTTGCTCGAGTTGAGATTTCGTCCCCGTCACATTCGAGAGGGGTTGTCCTCGCTCGAGAATTATGGATTTGTTGTTAGGTTCGCCGAGACACTGCACGATGTTGCGATGCAAGCCGAGTCGATCGAATGCGCGGCGTTCAATGGCGACGCCTTGGTCAGTTTCATCGAAATATTCCTTGAGGACGGTTGCCTCATCGATGCCGTACACCATTGCTGACCCGCCAAAGCCAATTGTCGTCAGGCTACTATAGTCGATAGGTTGACAAGAACTGTGCGAGTATTGCATTTGAAGCTCGAAGCTTGAATGTCGTGAAATATCCTATAAACCAAATCCGGTTGAGGCTTGCGTGGTTTTGCAAAAAGTCAAGTCTAGCCTGGCTGAACTAGATACAAAAATGCGCTGACTAATAAATCAGGTCAAGAACTGTGTTAGGTTATCGCAGCGAGGTCCTGGTTTCGGCCGGTCCTTGCACCGCTTGTACCAGACAGAGCATTGAAGCTTCTCTACCCTGTGTTGGGGGTTCCTCTGGCAGTCAACATGAATGGCCACCGCTGTGGTGTATGTACACATAGTGCAGGAAACTCTTGTTTCCCGTGTATTCTAGATAGATGGAACAGTGGTGAGAATGTAAGTAACTGGCAGTATTCTTTAGTCGAGCTTTTTATGCGGGCGACTCGCAGGGTTGTATCGCTTAACCGTGGGCATTGGGCGTGAACCATGACCTAACCATCAGGCAGCTTCGCCTTGGGTCCTCTTTGTACCATCAAATGATTCTTGGGCGCTTACTGGTACTTGTAGAAGGAGGAGTAACCTGACTGGAACATTCACTGGCCAACTGCGGCCATGGTCTGCAACCCGCTGGGAGCTCAGGCCGCATAGCTGCCAAAGTCAAAATCATCAAGTTACAACAATGACGTATTGCAGCACGCATCTAGGCTGGCTGTATAACTGCAAGTAGGTTTTTACGCCTGGCCCGGATTTATTCTCGCCGTTGGCCAGCACGCATCGACTCTGGATTCCCGTTGTTCTAAGTCTCTCGCCATCCTATTGATACGATATGCTGTGGCCATCCCGGCTCAAAATTCGACTACTATCTACGCAATTTAGTGCTGGTGTATCGTCAGAGCGCCACTCGGATTGACTCTCATGTAGTAACGGCGCTTGATCGTTTAAATACATGGTAGAATTCTCCGTGATACTTGGTGCCACCGTACTTCAGACGCCTCTGCGGAATAGCATCTCACAATATACTTTTGGATTTGCCAAAAGAAGCTCTACCTCTCCAAGCCTATTGAGTCCGTCACTAGGTAGTCTACTCTGATCGTGTTGCGTAGCAGCTGTAGCAATATTATCCGTATACCAAAGGTCTTGATTAACCAGTTGCCTAACTCAGCTACTACAAGACTGTCCATCCCGTAGCGGGAGATACGCTTTGCCGCGTCAATCTCATTTTTATCAAGGCTGATAAGCTCGGCGAATTTTTTGCTAATTGCTTTGCGTGCAATTACTGCCTTTTCCGCAGAGGAAGATGACCCGAAAATATCCGAGGGAACCGACGACGCGTCATGTAAGCGGTTTGGATCGGGACTTCGTGCCTGGTCTGAAATGGCTTGCGCAATAACTTGAAAACGGGCATTTTTGTGCCATACAAGGTCGTCCATACGACCATTCTCCATGTGATGTACAAGGCGAGCTGGTTCTAGCCCAGAAACAACTTGGGCCGCCGAGCAGGGGTCAATTTGAAATGGGGAAATATGTTGTGCGGATGCTACCGACGGCTGACACATTAGCCCTCAAAGAGCTGCAAGAATTCAGTTTTTGATAATCCGTCCAGCCTTTGGCCGCCCCAATTTCGGAGACAAGACCAATACCGAGAGCTGTAGCAGGGAGCCCTTGTGTTAAGCGGAATCAAGCAAAGGCATCCTGGAAGCTATTCCCCGCGCTATACACTGCTTGAGTGTTAGTCCCGATTGTCCCTCCGATCGAAGAAGTCATGGTAAAGAAATCTAGGTCGAGTTGCTTTGTTGCGTTATGAAGGTTAATGGATCCAAAGACTTTTAGGGATAGGCCAGCATAAACATGGCTATGGCTTATGTGTTCAAAAAGTCCATCCTGATAGTAACTTAGACAGAGAAATGGAATCGCTACATGAATTTACTTTTTGCACCATTGCGGTGTGCACCACTCCCTTGAGCCATCTCTTGTCTCAAATGGGATTGACAACCTCTTTAACAGCAGCTTCGTCTGTAATGCTACATCGAATGACCTCGGGCTCGGCTCCCATCCTGCGAAGATCCTCTATAACAGATACAGCTTCGGGCTTGTCAAGGCCTGAACGAAAAATGAATACAAGATGTCGAGCACCTTTTTTGACCATCCATACTGCTAAACTTCGCCCACGCCCCCCCCAAAGCCCCAACTAGGAGATACGTAGCCATCGGATCAGACGAAATAAGGTCTGCAGCCCTTACTACCTACATATAAATTAGCATAGTCCCGAAAAGAAATGAACATGACAACAAGACCAAGGACGTCATCCTGGGGTACGTTGTCTTGGGGTCAGTAAATGTAATGACAACCTTTCCGACATGGGTACCCTCGGAAAAGAAAGACATTGCAGATTCAAGCTGCGAAATATCATTTCTTGTAATATTATTAATAGGGCTGATTGCTCCTTTCCTCCAAAACTCCGTAAGTTCGCCTGCTAGGCTAGGGTTGCTAGTTAGCGTACAACTTTGACATGTCGATCAGAGAAAAGGGGGCTTGAATACCTGGCAATCAAGGACAACGTCTGACGATAGAGTAGGTCTATATCAAACGAGGAAAAGGTGGCATTCCTCTTGAAGACGTCAAGGGCTAGAATACTCGACTCTAGGGCGTTGAATCTGCTCACATTGATGAATCGCACTTGAGGCGCAATGCACGTCCACTGTTCCTGCAAAGAGTCACCCCCTAAAGCGCTGCCCAGGATAACATCGATGCCATTTGGCTTTGTTGCCTGCATAACTCGTTTTACCGCAGCAGCATCTCGCGAGCCGAAGACATGCGTGGGTGATAGCCCAAATTCTTCTACGAGCATCTCGCGGTTTTTTTCAGTTCCGGCCGTGGCAAAAATATCCGCGCCCAAGTATTGAGCAATATATATCGCGGCTATACCAAGACCTCCTGATGCAGATTGAATTAGAACTGTTTCACCCTTGCGCAGGCGCCCTAGATGATGCAAAGCATAGATTGATGTCGTGTAGGATAGTAGCATCGACGCTGCATGGATAAGTGACTTGCCATCGGGAACCTGGGCTATTGCACCGGCCGGCGATCGTGCATACTTTCCCATTTTGGCACGGATAAACCTAAACACGGGATCCCCGACCTTTAACGTGCCTATTCCGGGGCCGATCGCGGATATTTCACCGGATCCTTCGCTACTCGGGAAGTCGCAATCATATCTTCCGGTGGTAACAGCAATATCTGTTGGGCCTTTTCCGTGTAACAGGGTTCGGTGATTTCAACCAGTGCGAGCTTGCCTGCCGGCTTCAACAATTTCCGAATACGAGTTAATACTTCGACTGGATCATAATCTTGGCCGATGCCTCCGGTGGCTATGACGAGGTCAAACGAATATTCTTCAAGGCCCTGCGCTATTGGGTCGCTGCTGATATCTGGTAGGCGAAACGATACACTATTTCAAGGCCCCTGAAACCTATTTTGTGCTCTTGCTAAACACTACTTTGTTGAGTCTGTGCACAAATAGTGTGAAAAGAGCTTGTACGGCCGATTCGCTGCCAAGGTGTCTAATGTCGCCGCCGTCACCTCGCCGCTTCCCGCACCGACTTCCAAAACGCGCATCCTTGGAGCCTTGTGTGCGGAAAGGCCAAGTATTTGTCGTAGCATGGTATAAGCTCCTTGCATTATAACGCCTGATGCACCACAACAGTTATGGAATAAACCGTGTTCCATCGCAAGCTGTGGACCATTCGTGTTGCCAGACAGAATATGGTATAGATTGTCATACAACAATTTGGTAGACCTGGCTTCAGATACACCCTTTAGTTTTGAAAATAACAGTTACTTTGCCTCATTTCTCTTCTCCGCACATAAAAGCAACATCTCTCTAAACATTTGACATTTAGAACATGAGGCTTGAACCTAGGCCATGAATTTGTCATGATATCGTTGGGCTATGTTGGGGGAAGTGAGCGTTTCAAAGGATAAATAAGTAGTTGCAAGGGTAGCAGCAAAAAAGTCTATCGAGATTATCCAGCTGAATTTGCGAAACTCCGTTGGGGGGAACAAAAAGAGCTCTTGCTTGCTTATTGTTCAGCGTGTTGATATCAATATTTGCGACTGGCCGCCAATACAGCTCGCAGAGGGAGTTTAATGTCGAAGTTATTGCTTGAGATACTCCATCATGGGCAACACATTTCATCTCTACAATTTGTAGCAAGACCTTGACAGATTTGGAGCACAGTGGTATCTTCATATATACGCCCCGTGAACCCACCAGCTCCCCACTACATATTCCCCAACCCGTCCCGTCATCATTCTCTTCGTTCGTATCTGGAACCGGAATAGAGAGATTGTCTGCAGCGACGGGAATGAAAGCCTTCTTCGCGTTTTCAACTTTTCCCGAGTGGCATGAGACCAGGCCGAGCTGAATACAGCTATCAAGGGTTCTTGGGTGAATCATGTAAGCCGACTCGCCTCCTGTGATGCTATCTGCTGTGGATTTAAGGGAGACGTTGGCAGCAACAACGTTGGACGTCCGATAGGCTCTCAGGTTAGAAAGACATTGGAAGGCGGAATCATGTTTAACACCAAACTCAGAGAATCTGTCGTGCCAGCGTTCGACATCGAGCGATCGAGACCGAGAATCAATTTCTATCCGCTGATAGAACTCAGCTGTTGTCTCCGTACACTCCGTACGAACAAGTCCAGAGCAATGCTGTGTCCACACAGCATCGCCCGTGGCGGATCTACTACCACGTCCAGGCGCCGTCGAGGAAATGGTGAATCTATGCCATGCTGACATGTTATTACCTGCATTTGCAAGTGTAGTCCGTTCCAGGTTCAGCACAGTCTCAACACCGTCTTCATCATTCCTGACATGCAGAGCTGATTGTATTGTGACATTGTGTGGCTTGAACAAAGTAATCTTCTGCGAGGTTTCTGCCTCACGGTGGATCTGAGAGATGGCTTCGACTGTTGGTCTCATAAGGGATTAATGTTACTAGTAACAGGGTGCAAATCGTATATATTTAAAAGTCTAAGGAAAAAGAAGCTATTACCTACGTACAGCCCGATATCGTGGCCTTTATAGTTGGAGTTATTGCCCTGGGTGACCCCTATTGCGGACCGCCCCACAGACCCGGCTGGTGGTGCCGAAATAGAATAATATTAATCCAACTAATCAGGGTGGTTACAGGCCGGAGCAGATTGGTCCGACCGAACAACGCCACATCGTGGGCCAATAATTATCACAACATCGATAGCCATGGTAATATAAGCTGCTGCCGGAACAACCACATGAGGGATAAATTTATGGTCTGCTATCCAGGGTAAGTCCCTGATTCGCAATATGTTGCGCCACCAGGGGTGGGATTTGGAGCAACCGATTATTCTAGACCCAAGCAGCTCATGACGTGGATGGCTGCGCATTCTACACTCCTTGCTCAACCGATTCTTAAAATATATTGGCTTTTCCGAGTACGTAAAACTGTACTGCTGCATATCAACACAGGGGTAGCCGTGTAGGAGATGGAGTTTGCCTGCACGCATTTTCTGTGTTGCATTCACCGCAACCAGATTTATTGGGGTATTCTGAACGAAGAAGTTGCCCACCAAGTTGAGAATGCTGACAACATCGTCATTATCGCGTCGAAGGGAAGCAAGGCAGAGAGGGAGGCCAGTCCCCCGGTGCTCGTCAAGGTGTGTGCTGATTTGCTTCAAGGAGCCGCTTAATGCAGGATGAGGTCCAACGTCTATAAAAAGCTTTACCGATTCGTATTGACTAACAGTCGCAAGCTTCTGAATGGCCTGCGAGAATAGAACTGGAGATTCCAGGTTGCGCTGCCAGTACCCAGGATGAGACGCATCGGCTTCCTCCTCTGGAGAAACGGACGAGACCCATCTCACATTGTATATTAGTAGTTTCCCCCCTCAGGAGACTATTTGCTGACTTTGGACAAAAGCGGCCATTGCGGAGGCAAATCGTTCTCCGCGTTCAGGGTTTGCCATGAACCATTGATACGGAGAAGCGCCAAATCTAAGATTAAAGGCGCTATGAGTGGCATGAGATGCGAATGGCTTCTTTGCAATCGAAGCGGCTGTTAAGGAAGAAGCTTCGAACATTTCGTCTGCCCTACAGCAAGCTTGTGAGTCATCGGGCCAGCGTAAATGCGAATACTTAGCTCAAGTGACTTACTGAATTGTCAATGCCGACGTTATATTCCTTTCCTGGGCGATAACTGCGGACATGGCGGTGTGCTCATATACGTCTTCCCTTACTGCTTGAAAACAGCGCTGTGAAGCCAACAACTTCATGATACGCCGTGTGCGATCGACATCCATTCTCGAGGCGGAAGCTATATCTTGTATCATTATAGGTCGGTTAAGGGGAACAATAGTAATGTAACCGACGCGCAATGCAGCCTGCCAGGCGCCTAAATCATGATGAGAGCAAAAGAAGATGCGCAACCATCGCATTGGTCCTTGAGCTAGGAGAATTAGGTCTTTTGCAATTTGACTCAGATCGGTACAAATATCGTCGTATTTCTTGTCGGCTAGGTAGGCAGGGGAAAATGCCGTGAAATTGGGTTCATCGATCCCATGTGTCTCCAGGTAATCAACAAGTGCTTCACTCTGTCTAAGCGTCTCGCGGGCTTTCTGCAAAATCAGCGACTAGAATCGCACAAGTAAGCTTCTCAACAACATTGACATTGGTGCTGGGGGCAGTATTGGAACCTTACATTCTTGCTGGGGGCGTTCATCTTGATTGACGGTTTGGTTTGTTTGGTAGCTATATTTGTGGGATAATGACTTGCTCTGCCCACACAAGGCGTTTATGCGTGCATGGAAAAGCAAGGTGCTCAGTGTAGTACTTATAGAAGAAGCAGGGCACAGGTTTTCGCCGGCGAGTGTTACAGTAACCCAAGTTATCATTGAAGTGAGGCTTTGTCCTCCCCCTCTGTATTGGCATTGCGTGAGATGCACGGACTTACCCGTGCCTTGAAAGCAGGATAGAAGGCAAGCCAAGAGAGGGTTTTGTTTTACAAGGTCGCTACATGTGTAGTGTAGTCTTCACAGATCAGATTGACACCTAACTATGTTGTGAGGCTACCGAAGCGATGGATTCGAGTGTCAATTCCACCCTCGTCGCCGAGCGGTAATACAATGTCTTACCCGGCCAGTTTAGGAAGCTCATTTTCGTCCATCTGCTTTAATCAGTCTTGTACGTCGAGTAATCAACTCAGTTACTGTGCAAGCAACCATTTGTGTGGGAGCCAACCGCTTTCCCCCGCACATGGCACGCCTTGCTGGACTAATGGAGCTGTCAAGCTGTGCGTGTAGGCTTATACGCCTTTATCGTAGAACGGGGTATTCTCACTCTAATTCGTTCCCGCATATTGCTCATATGCATACGCTTATTATACCATCCCTTGTTATTTTTCTAGTCCTCCGTCGCACCGCCTAGGTTATCAGAAACAGAAGACCCTACGGCGAACACGGCAAGACAGCGACCATGGGCGGTGGTGATCTTTTGAAAATGGTAACTGATGCGCTTTGGGCTGCTAGAAGGCAGATCGTTACTAGCGTCTGCGAATGTACAACTCTCCTGGGACCTTGTCTAGGTGGCGGACACGGTATTCTTTAAGCTCGCCACGGACTTGTCGCAGACCGGTTTGTATTCATCAACGTGGATAAGGCTGACGGCACTTTGCAAAGCATTGATGCCGAGTCCGATGCTCGACTTTGATGGGCCATGAAGGGTGCCGGACACAACTTTGGAATAGTCACTTCTGTCAGCTCCGAGATCTACAACGTCGCCCATAAGGACTGGGCGTGGCAGACAATCATCTACTCTGGAGATCAAAACTACTTATTCTTCTTTAACAGCCCTTATCTTGATCCCGAGAGGGCTTGTCCAATATCCGCTTTTCCGCTAGCATCCAAGATTACGATGCTAAAGCGCGAGAGGCGGCGTATAAATTTATTTTTATCTACAATATAACGCATTTAGTGAGTCTTTGTATTTACCTTTTTGAAGGCTACTCTGCGAAAGGTATCAAGGCTATTAATGACGCGTAAATAATATATTACGGTCTAAGAGCACAAAAAAAGTCTAGTGCAACTTAAATAAAGCGATTGTTTGAAGGAGAGTTAGAGCTTTTAAAGGAAGCTCTAACTCGAGCTACCTAAGTTCTAAAGTAGGGCTGTTCCCTTACACAAAGACTAAAGTCCTAGCACTTATCCACGATCCGTCCTAATACCCTGAAACGAAATTACCCAGATCTTAGTTTATACTAATAGACTAAGTTAGAGTACAGTCCCAAGCACCAGCAAGACTCACGGGGATCAAGTGCCCTGTCTCTCACGCACACTAACCCCCCATTTGGAGAACAAGTCCACGGATAGCCCCATCGTCTTCCGGCGACATCGCATTTATTATGTCACTGGGACAAGCCGCACGCACACTGTTGTAGTGCGCTTCGTAGCATTGGTGTGCGTTTCGCTGGTCTAAGCAAGTCACGTAACCCTTTAACGCCCCACGACACCGAGGGTAATGATCGTTTGTCCCGCCACTAGAGGCATCCGTCGCGATAGCTGGCTGTGCAGCCGAAATCAGGAACACAACTCCGCAAAGCTTAGAGAAGAGGAACATGTTGAGTTGATACTGTATTGGCTCCTAGCCTGGGTACTCTTGAAATTCTTTTGAAAATAGAAGCGGATCTTAGAAGTGCGTTAATAGGAATAATTCCGAATTCAAGGTTTTTAGGATAAGAGTTAGAGTTAGAAATCTCACAGAAAAGGGTAGAGTTGATTTGTAGAAGACTGTAAGCGATAGTACACTAGAAGATTTCCTTAGAAAACCGCTAGTTTCGCTGTGTGTAGCTTATTAGGGTAAGAAGTGTTAGGGAACGCGGGGGGAAGGTACGCCTTATATAGACGATTTGGGCGGGAAGAGCCTTCCCTGCCCGTCTTATTCTATCTTTTTAAGCAGCAACTTTACTATATGCCTCTTCGTGATAAATTTAGCATAACCAGTTTGAAAGTGATTTATGGCATGTTTATAGTGGGGGGGAGGGGGGATCTACATGTAAGGACAAGGCATCTCCACAAGAACCTAGAAGTACCCTAGTATAACCCTGTAGAATGCTGAAAGATATATCTAAATGACCTGACGCCAGCTATCAACTAGCTAGGTTATCTGGTCACTGACCAAGTTATTGAACTGCCGATTCCAGCTGCCGAGTTTGCAAGAACGTAGCTAGAGTTCTTCGCTGATGTCCGTGGAGATTGATGGACCTCGGCGCTGCACTCAGTCCGGTTTGTATAAGTCAGATTTATTTCGCCCAAGTTGCCACACGCAACTATATGATCGCAAGCTCGGGGCTCGTTGCTCTCTCCTTTTCCTCTTTCATTTTATCCATTTTTAGCGCGTGAAAATGCGACTTATACGTAGTAGTTGTTAAGTAGCCTGTACTAAGTTTTATATTGTGTTGTAATTTATATCTCGCGTGATTTATCCCGACTCGTAATAATATAAAATAAGATTGAAAGTAGAATTTTAAGCCTCTACAGTTATTTGAGTAACCGACCTTTGCCACACCCTAGTAGCATAGATGCAGGATTCTGCGTCAACTAATACTAATTATAGATTGTAACTTGCCTCCCTTGACATGAAACCCTGACAGGGAGGCATAGCTTAGCCGCCAGCTTGTATAGCAGGGTTATTAGGCTGCCGTCACGCTACCGCGTCCCGGCGCTGGCGCAACTTAGCTGGGTGCTTCGCAGGGATTCCACGCGTCCTCACCGAGTTCACGATTAGGTAGCTTTCACACTTATACCTCAAAATACGTAAGCGCGAAACAGATAAATCGGCTATAGTATATTGCTCTATTAATTATACCTACTAATCCCCGTTGCTAGGGGCTTATTATCTCAACTCGGCACCTTCTAACAAGAGAAGGTCTGGCTGGAACGACAAGTTGGCAGGCTACGCTTAGCTCGCCAATAAGTGCCTCGCGGCCTTGTCATCAGACCGCCTTATCCTTACAACGGTATTAGCAGGGACAATAATACTTTGTCGTATAGGCTTGTAAAATAGCTTTGGTTTGCTCTAGGATCAGGCACCCTAGGATCCCACTCTTAATAAATATTACCTTGTCCATGTCCTATACAACCGCGACTTATACACCACGACTACTAGCGCTGTTTGCTGTACTAGCAACACTAACTTGGATTGCGCTGCTACTTGTGATGGTTTCACGTCAAGGAGGGCTTAGTAAAAGTATTTAAGTAAATTGTATTTCTAGGCTAAGTTTATACTGGATTTGATATATAAAACGTAGTGCAAGTAAGAGAAATATTAAAAAAGCAGCTTCCTTGCAATCAAAATAAGAAAGGAGTATCACGTGCGTGCGCCGGGACCCACTAACATGACACGCGAACTATTACCTTTTCCTATTCTGATACCAAGTGGAGACGTGTTAAAGCCGATAAAAGCCTATAAAAGATTCCAATTCAGAGTCGTAGCCTCACAGTAAGGTCCTATTAGCTAGTACTATACGAATAACGTCATGCAAAATCATCGACCTATATACTTTAGAACGTACAAGACGCCCAGTAGCAAACAAATAACTTACAAGTTGTAGGCTGATAATAGCGTCGCTCCAGTTTCAAAAACCATGCGCTAATTCCCAGGTCGGGATTTTCGTGTGATTCATGGTTCTAGTTTCAGTATAATCATGCCAGAATGCATTAATCTATCTCGTTCCCAAGCGGCTAGACAGGATCTGTGCCCCTCCCCCCACTTCTTTTTCTGGTCTTATTATGCAGGGCTAGAGAGCGGGTAGTTTAATGAGAATCCTGGGCGGGGTAGGACGTACAGACTGTGTAATTCGAAGCGGTATCTCTTAGGGCGAGCTAATATATTGTACTGAAGGGTGCTCTTTATACAGTACTTCCAAGGTCGCTGCCTTGCTGTATAAACTGCTTTATGCCTTGAGGAACGAACCTGAAATGGATATAGCGGCATAAATGTAGTTGCCGGCCGTAGAACCAGACATATGTGTTTCTAAATACTCCGTTAAGGTCGGTGGTAGAAGGAAAACAGAAAGACTCGTAGTGCCTTGAGGGATAATGCTTCCCCAACACCGCGTCAATATCGAACCGAGCTGTAATATTCTCATCTGCACGATAAGACTTGGCTTAGGCATGTTAGGTGTTGGTAAACGACATGGAGCATTCTGACTCAACGCTCCTTCCCCAGGTGGTCATTTCCTGGAGGCTGAGGCCTTTGTGTCTTTCCACTCCGGCAACCTCATCCGAGCACGTATTGCAAGCCGGCTGGTCCAAGACGTGTGCCTACACCCAAGCGGCCGCAGAGATCTTGTCTTGTCTAGCATTCGTAGTATCCTGCAGGCCTCGGCGGAGCGTATGCACGCCCTACTATGTCGAGTGTAGCCTAGGGTTAGGGTGAAAGAGTCTGATTGGGGCTACAGTTTGCATTGATGTTAGTGGACAATTGTTATCGTGGATAACAAACCTGCACATGTGTGCACCTAGCATTATTAGAGATACTATATAATAAGAATAGCTCAACCCACCCTTAAGCCCAAGGATGCAATGCTAAAAACCATGCTTCTCTAGCCACTGTATCAATTCCGCTTCCGTCTTTGCCCGCATCTCTGCTCGTTTCTTATCGTCAAACTGCTTGAGCATAGATTCGTTGCCAAGGTTATATGGACAAAGTAGTGCTTGCAAGTGGAGGAGATCGCGGATCTCGTCCACACCACGAATGTTACAGGGAGACACCACCCCACACTTCTTCATTGCCGTACTCCACGCCTTGGCAACTTGCCACTGCTCGACGGATTCCTTATCTAGGTTAGGGGGTGGCCATGTAAAGTCTCCAGAGAGGATTGCCGCCTCGATCTCCTTACCCTCTTGGCGTATATTCCCACCGACGTCTTGAAGGCTGCACATGAACTCGTCAAGAGGGTTGGAGATGTAAGACCAGTCAAAGTCCAGGATAGCTGTTAATTTCTTAGTATCCTTGTCGAATAGCATATTGTTCGTCTCTGTGACGTTGTCAGTCAACAGATAGCTACCCTGAAACGGTGTATACGTACTGAAGTCTCCGTGTATCAAGTTCTTTTGATGCAGATCGACATCACTGAGAATTTTTCCAGGGCCATTAGCGGCAAGAAACTTTTCAATCCTCGTGTCTACACCATTATGCTTCCAGCCCTGAATCACCGGGCTCTGGGCGACTTCTTGGAGTTGCCCCCGTAGTTTGCTAACCCTCCATTCGGCATATGATTTTACGGGTTCGCCTGCGCGGAGAGGCGCCTGTCCGCTCACAATTCGTCCTTTGGAGTCAAATGTAACCCCGCCAAATTTTGTAGCGCCTTCTGGCAATTCGACTGTCTGAATTGCTTTCAGAACGTTAGCCATCTGCTCCAGGATCTGCTCCTTATCCTGCATCTTGAGTGACGAGAATTCAGAGTCCAAGTCAACACCAGTTCTTAGTTCAGATATAATCCACCCGAAACTCTTTTCATTGACGGCATTGGTGATTGTGGTTGGCATCCAGGCGTAAACAGCTGGGACTAACTGGGGGAGTCCGGCATGCGCCATGGACTGGCGAACAAGATACTGCACTGCTACGTCATTCTCTACGCGGTTGGTATTGTTAATTCCAGTGGCCGCTGGGTTGCTAAGCTTGATAACAATGACAGATATGCCATCAGAGGGGGCCTGAGTGGTGCCAGGCTGAGTGCCTGGGAACGAGGAGGATAGGGCTGGAGTTGCTAGCTCTACTTTAAACAAGTAGTTATTGAATGGGTACAGGTATTCTTCACTGTATGCCAGAGTCGAGATATTCAAAGCCTACAAGAAACGCAATTAGCGAATGGGCAGTCAAATTCTGCCTCGTGGCAACAATATTCACTAACCCGGAGGTCATGGCTTTGCAGGATTTGCTCAACCACAGCAAGCCGCCGCTGAAAGCCCCGTTGGCTGACATTAAGAACCATGTTTAAGTGAAGACACTGATGTAAATGAAAGGAAGCTGAAAGGAAAGTAGGGTAAATCTTGCACATACAAAGAAGAAGGTAAATTGGGTAGGCTTATAAGCGCGCTCGCTCCACTTGACCCCTCATCTACTTCATCGCCCGAGGCAGCCTGATATACGTCAATACAAGGATAAGTATGCATTGTCATCGTTAGCACTCTGTTACGGTGCTGAAGTCTAGAAAAGATCCCGCTCTGGATGGGTCCGGGGCGATGAGATTCGTGATTCCCTGCAGGCATCCAGCTAGAGTGCGTCCCTTGTGGCGCTGACGGATCCTTTGTAACTAACACACCGTTGCACTTATTATTGATGTATTTAGCCTTGAGCAGCAGGAGTTGCAGGCCTGGGCCGAAATTGATGGAGTTGGGTGGGGCAAGCGAACATGCATCCCTGAAGTCGTGTTCCATTGAACGGGCAAATACTAGGCAGCGCTATTAGTACTTTCGGGGGTGCTCATAATTTTGCGGAGGTGAGATTGACATGACTTTCATTTTTACATGTAAGATAAACAATTAGAGGGCCTCGCGGAAGACCATGAGAGCAACGTATCACCAAGTCCACGCTAGCAGACGATCAACTAATACAAAACCGTTATAGAGGTCTTTAGCTATCGCTTCTCTCTAGCTATATAGCGTAAACTGTTTCACTGAGAGGTCACATATATTTAGAAATTCAAGCAATAATAACTTCTGCTTGTTTTGCGCACAGTTGCGACTAGAAGCATAATAGTAGCTGTAGTTCACCAACTCCTTACCACACGGGAACACCCCCTAGTGCGTCCAATCCTAGCCGCACTGCGACCTGAATTGGAAAAAGTGATGAGACACTGCATCTACGCTACTAACATCCCAAGTACCAGACCTAATGGATCCCCATGCCCTCGTAATCCACTGTGTCAATAGGCTCCTCATTCAAATCAGGGTGTGCTAGCTCACGCCATCGAATATATTCCTAACGATTAAGGGGTAAGTTAGTAGCCAGATAGAGAATGTCTTGCAACGAAACTTGCCTCTAAGCAGGGAAGGACGGTGCGTACCAAGCAGTGAATAGTGTGCGCATTCAGGTCGCGCGTCATCTTGTTGCCGCTACCAGTAATGTGCCAAGCGAGAATCATTCGGAGGTTCGCGAGACAATAAAGTTTGTGGAATGTACTCTGCGTAAAACCGAATCTGTTAGACTGGCCACCTTTAATAAAATTTGGCTTGCCAATAGCTTGGTCACTAGTCCAGAAGTCTCCGTGCTTCATGGAGGAATTCCAGTAACCCGTCAAGTACTCATCGCCGTGCGATCCAATTTCTTTAGCTTGTTCTATAGTGAGTTCAGGCTTGCCAAGGATTCGATGGGCAATGTTAATCCTTTCAATAGCTCCTAGGGCAAGGTTATCGCGGATTAATAGACTGCTATATACGTCGATGCTGCGTCCTTCAACTACTTTAGGATAGGCCATAGTTCCAGCACGAGTGTAGACCTCTTCGCGGAAGTCCTCGGCGTTGCCTCGTTTGTTGACAACCATCTTACTTACGGTGTCACGAGGAGCTGGGAGCGTCATTCCAAAAGCCTGCAAAAGATCAATAAGTGAGAGGTCTAGGGCCTCTCGCTCAATATTAATGCTAAAAAGCGGTTTAATAGTCAGAATAGAATATAATATTATTAGGGATAAATATATTGCTATTATGTTAGATTCTCACCGCATTATAGTATCATTTCGGAAATCTTGGCCCGGATAACTCTCGTCGTCTAGATGCTGCAGACCTACGTCAAGCCGGCGACGAGTGTCACTGGATAGAGTGTTCTGCCAATTATCAAGCCCGCGAGCCGGCACGATAGACACAATAGGCGTACCAGACGTAACTGGGACAGCTTGAACATTATCAATAAGAAAGGACGCCAATACGCCGTAAGCAGTCAGTTTATGCATGGTGAAGATTGATCGCGTTGTATAGAATATTTTGGATAGCGTTAAATTGTGCGAGAAAAGAGGTGTGAGTTGCAACAAGAATACACCAGCTTGAGGGCATGAGGATATCGAGTTACATTTATATGAAAGGGCAGAGAACTTGGCTGGTAGCTCCCGGCCCATATGTTCTTTTACGTCTATCTCCTCAATGGAAATGATGAGTCAACTGGCAGCACGTCGGCGGCGTATATCTCCGTAGATTCGGGATCCGGCCGCCAGTTGCAAGCTTCCTTTTCCTGTAAGTGGGTTGCCTACGGAACAAAAGTTCGAATATGCTGTTAGGTTCAGTGGTTCTGAATTTGCAGTACCTCCTCTCCGGTCAATGCATTGGGTCTGGTTAGTCTGCCTGTTAGGTCCGGGGTCGGATATCGCAAATGCTTTGGCACTCCATGATGCTTGACCACACGTCTGAGCAAGCAACTAGCTCAGTGGAAATGGCCTGCAAGATATTGTTTGTTCTAAGGATGAGTAAAGAATTTACCGGCATATTCCTGATGCTTAGTATCCAAATATCAAAACGCATCGTGTTGGGAAAGAAGAACAACTTCGCGGGCTGCTTTGTACATATTCCGCGGTACGCACTACTGCTGTCCGTTGGATCGCATTTGCCTATTTAGTAAGTCATAGAACAGCTAAATTGCTTGGTGTTAATGCTGCTTTGTGTCTACATGTTGAAAAGTTGGTGTGTAGAGCAACGCGGGGGTAGTTCGGGTCGGATGCAGATGTGAACTGGTAGATACATTAATGTCTTAGGCCTTAAAGAAGAAGGTGGTATTTAGTATTACCACGATAACTACAGAGTATTGGACCAACAAATCACGCACTAAATTGTGACCATTTCGCGTGCCCCCGAGCACAGGACTACCTGTGCGGAGTAGCTTGTGCAAATTTATCTTAAAGTAGAGAAAATTTCTGGAAAACATTCAAATTTACCTTACCTTAGTCCCGAGTACTCATGATTAGAAGTCTGCCCCTTGATGTCTTCTTCGTTATTATTAGATCCTATAGCTGGAACCAACGTTCAAGGAAGTCCAACCCAGCCTGTCGTCGCTTTGCCGCACTATCCGCCTTCTCATTTCTCTCTCCCTTATCGCGTTATTTACTCCCCACAGCTTTGACTCGCTGTACAGGTCTGACCAGTTTATAATATTAAAGCCTTGCTCTGCCCCTATCGACATCGCTATCCCCTTTTCGCACTAGTAAATGTCTATTTAGAAGGAGACTCGACAACCTTGCAGGAAACCATGTTCAGTTCCATATTGACCGCTAATTCCAACTCGCAACAAAAATACAAAGCTCTCAGCTCGACCTATGACAACTTTGACAGAAACACGCATCACAAGAGGAGCCGCTTGTTCCTTAGAACAACATTCCCCATCGCAATTATACTCTGCAGTATCGCACATCTTATGTTGATATGCCACGTTATAACCCTCCTCAAAGCATTCTCGTCGCAGCTGCCAAACACCGCACAAGACCTCACACACCAAGTGTCAAACTGCTCTTGTGGCGCGACTATACATGAAGCCAGGGCTCTTGATTGTACCTTCGACGTGCTATCTGTCTCTTGACTACCACCTTCGTGTCGTGACGACGAGCTCACCGTGGAGTTTGCCGCGGGGGGACCTGGCCCCCATGGCGCATGGGACTATTAGGCGCATGAAAACGGCACGCGGCCGCTCACACTGGATGAGGTAGCTGCGTTGATAGAGAAACCCGAAAGCATCGTGTACACTTCGTGGGAATTTCATGTGCTTTATTGCTCGTTCTACTGGCGTAAACAGTGGAGGGTGTCTAGGGGCGTGGGAGCATTGTTTATGGAGGCCCGGTACGCCCTGGAGAGCCATGTGAAACATTGCCAGAATGTTTTTATGAAGGCCAGTTTGAGGAAGACGGATATAACTCAATCGGTGGTAAGGCTAGGGGGTGAGTTTTTTTGAACGGAGCTGCTTATCTAGGAGCTTTAAGACGATGTGATGAACAAGTTGCTATAAGTAAGTTAATTTTAACGCCCACGGTTATCTACGTAGCAGCCTCTAATTTATGCATATTAAATAATTTTATAGAGTTTATCTGGTGTCATAATGACATGTATTACATGTTATATACAATTAATATTTAATGTTTCCAAGCGAGGCTCGTAAGAAAAGCTGTCTATAAATCGGTCACCTATAACGGTCCCTGGTCGATGTGATTAGTTCATAAGCTCTGCATGAGATACCTGGACTAATGTCGTGATATTAACCATGTCTAATTAACCTTGATGCAAGGTAGGACTTGGAATTTTTCTTGATAATTCCTAGTAGAGGGCTGAGCAGAGGGACTCGGGTCAGGATAGCAGGCGGCTCTCTTTTGTCATGAGTTGCATGTGTACTGTAACGGTTGCATTCGGTATGCAGGACTGTGCAATGGGTAACATTGAACCTCAAGTTTGAATGGTCCCCGCCACCAGAATTGAATATGCATAAAGAGGGGAAGAAGCTGACTGCAGTTGTCAAGTGCATGTTGCACAAGGAACTTTTGAGTCTGAGTCTGATGACATCTGGGGCATTTCTGCATCAGGGTGGCGATCAATTCAATACACTCGCGCCTTCGGTTAACCAAAAAATACCATATGAACTGGGGAAACCTGTAAGTGCCACGACACATACTATACTATCCATGTACTTTTCTTGTCTTCTTCCCTCGGCTCGGGAGGCACATCCGTATGTTTAGTTTTCTACGGTAGGCCGTTCTGTTTTTCATCCTGGGCAGTGCCGCGACCCAGATTGGCATGATCAAATTCGGATAATTTTACCGTTCTATAAACTGAATCATAAACAGCGGAAACTACACCAATGCGGCTCCTCCAAAAGACATAATGATTGCTAGTATTTTCTCTGCTCAAGATGCGGTATCGGATGGTTTGAGTAGGTTCCCCATGTCTTCCAAGACAAAGATAAATAGTGTAAAGTACTAATTGCGCCACTACCAGTCATGTATTTTCCGGTTACCATTCTGTGGAAAATTTACATCAATTTACGTACAAAGCTGATCATGACACTCGTCTTCTGTCTGGTATTCCTTACGGTGACCATCACGATTTTCCGCGACAGTGTCTTCCACCCGATGTATTCTGAGGCGGCCAAAGACCATCAGGCAGCGCAGAATCCACGCCCATAGCATTAGACAAAGAGTAGATGTTCTAGACTCAAGTCTAGACCAATTGATATAGCTTCATCAAGAACAGATTTCATCATCCAGGCCACCCCGGGCCTCTGGGACTCTGGTAGTTCAACCAGGGTTTGAAGAGCCCTCATCACTCGCTTCTTTGCTTCAGTCGCAGCGGACCCAAGCACGCCCGGGAGCTGGAAGAAAACTTGCCACCCATAATCATTAAATGTTATGACGTCTTTGGTAATATTTGGCTTAGTATCGTGGAAATGGCAACCAAAGAGTGATCGAATAGATGCATCCACTATTGAATAGCGGCAATGAGAATAGAGTGAGACTTGGTTGTTTTTCCCGAATAGAGATTTTGTACAATAATCTAATATACTTGGTTGCAAAGAATCGAGCATGGAATTGAGAAAAACCCCGAAGACTTGATCCATTTTCTTGCCGGGAAGAAGCTGTTGTTTCAGGAGAGACTCTAAGTAGCGGACGAAGCTTAGCCGATCCCTGCCCCGGACATCAGTTGTGACGGCCTTGTCCCCCGCGTCGTTATGAGGGTTTGAGGTCTTCCATGATCTTCGTAACCCATCGTCACTGAACCCAAAGCGGCTGAGAACTGCATGAAGATGACCATCAAACCCCAGGTCAGGGTTGCGGTAGGTGGCAGTTACATCTGCGGGGGCAGTAATTACATACATAGTCTTTCCCTACATGTGAAGAGCCAATGGTTTATAGGTTCTATTCTAATCCTTGTTCTATAACTTTGTCGGACTCCCCGAAGAATTTTCAAGCATGCGCTTGGTTTTGTGAGCAAGTGTCGATTACGGCTCCCACGAGAACATATCTAAAAATTGGAGCCTAGTAGGGGACAAGTTTGAGTTCTGCAGGATATAGCCAAGGACGTAGTGTGAAGTTCCAGATCTACCAGGTTAACCAGGCAAGGAGGATAAAAAATGGCCACAACCAGCAGGACACATCAGTCATTGCGTCGTGATCCACGAGTAGCCTACTGTTTCAATAATTAACTGCAAGAACGAAAATGCGAAATAATAGACAGGTTATATACTTTTTTTCTCACAGTAAAAGCGGCACCGGAATGAGTCTTATACTTGCCGACTATCGAGACGTTTTTGTCTTTGTTGTTCATGCACCTTGTATATTTTCAACGCGTCCCCCCAAAAGATTCAAATTTAAAATAATCGAGGAAGGTGTCAAAGGTCCTTCGTTTTCCGAGGGGAAGAGAGTGAACGGTAACCACTATATATACATAAAGGGAACGGCTATACCTGAGGCTCTTGCCCGGGCACGTCAAATGCATAAAAGCTTGCACTTCAACTTCCTCCAAGTGCATCACAAGTCTCTGTTTCTTTGGTAGAAATAAACTTGTGCCAGGTCTAATATTTTGAATCTGGCGCCATATCAAGACGCACGGCAGTGAGTTTGCCAATCCTGCCCCTCAACCATGATGCTACCATCACTCACAAAAAGGCTCGCAGGACAAACAAAATTGACAGCGCCAAGATATTCCTCGATGCCAATAACAATACATTTGGGCCAGCAATCCCTCGTCATGTCCTGGGGCAATGGCGTGCTCAGGAGGCCCAGGTCAACGATGTCGGTGTCGTCAAGGTAGCTCTTCTACCGGCACCGAGCTTTAAGCTTGACACTGAGACTATATACAATGCCCTTTCCGAGCAGTCCAATATAAAGATGGTCTGTATCTGTTCACCTGGCAACCCTACTGGGTCTACTGTTCGGAAGGAGGATGTGAACAAGATTCTGTCTCACTCTACATGGAACGGAGTCGTCATTCTTGACAAGGCGTACATTGACTACTCGTCCTAAGACTGCCTCTTTGGCTGAATGGGTCACCGAGTGGCAAAACTTGGTAATCGTCTAAACCCTGTCCAAGTCTTTTGGTACGGCGGGCATTCGTCTCGGAGCAGCATTTGCGGCGACGCCAGTCGCCCGCCTGCTCCGCGACCTCAGCATAACCTACAACATCCCGAGCCCAACCGTAATCTTTGCTAAATACGCCATAACTTCAGGACTAGTAATCATGGCCGACAATATTGCCAAGACGGAGGCACGGCGCAACCGCTTGATTCGCGACATGACCCAAATCAAGGGCGTCGGTCGCTTGCACGGCGGTACGGAGGCCAACTTCTTGCTATTTGAAATACTTGATGAATGTGGCCAGCCGAGTAATGCTGCTGCTTGCGCCGTATACGAATGCCTGTTGAAGAAGAGAGGTATCGTCACGAGATTTCGCGGCGAGGATCATGGATGCCATGGGTGTCTGCGTATTACCATTGGCACGGAAGACGAGACGGCAAGCTTTCTTCAAGCGTTGAACTTGACGCTGAAAGAAGTGCATAAAACAGGTTTTAGCAGCGGAGCACGAGGCGGAGGTGTCGTCAATGGAAATGGCTTAAACTGGCCCCAAGAGCAGAAGCCCGGCTAACACCAAACCTCTTAACCTTACAATAGGTCGATATGTGGGTTACTTTTCTTCTTCTCCACTGGAGGGCATATTCTTTTTTTAATCACTCTAGATGCGTACTGTATATACCTGTTACTCTGACTCTGAGCTCGATTGTTGAAACATATTGGTTGTAGCGAATAAAAGGCATCTGGTTTTCTTCTTTTTACAATTTACTCAAAACCTTATTGACTATCAATTCTAAATAATTGTATTATGGTCTGTAAGCTATATCCTCCTGGTTAAGACATCGTATTATTGCAAAAGCGTAGCATGTAGTTCTGATTTACTTATCCTACGCCTATCTTGCTTCTCGTACAGGTATCTCCCGTCCCGCCGCAGCCCGTTCGTTATCCATCTCGGCTTTCTAATTGTGGTACTCACTTATTCGCATATTAGCATATGAGGTATAGTCGAAATTAATATTTGAGCCGCTCGCCTTAATAAAAGCCCATATAGCCCTGAAGAAACCAGGAACGCCGCGATATAGGTCAACATCAACCATCAGCCTCGATAATGAATCATCTTGGTCAATTTGACTGTCCTTTGCCAGCACGGCAAAGGTACGAAGATATTCTTTAATAAATTCTCGGCGATCTGACCGCGTAGGCAACGCGCTAAAGTCGCATTCGAAGCCTGCCCATTTGGAGAAATGGTTGGCGATATCGAACGCAGCAGGAGCCTGCATGGTATATTCATAGTCGATAAAGGACACTGTCTCCTTGTCGGAATCGTATGCTTTTGGAAGCAGTATAATGTTGCCACTTAGCAAATCGCAATGGGAAAAAACCATCCAGCAAAACGTCAGCTAGTGTCTAGAGCAGGCGGCCATGGCAAAACTCGTTACGTCGTATAGCCTATATTCTGACCGTTGGTCGAGCTGTTAAACAAGCCTGTTAAGTTCTCCCTGGAGTTGTGCTCGTCTGACACGTTGTAACTTAGCACTAACCGGTAGAGCAGTCATCCACTTTTGCAGAACTACCCACAGACTCGTCGAGGGCTTGGTCTGCTTCGATTCTGTTGCAGAACCGTTTGCATCATGAGCTAATACTCTTGGTGACGCGAAACAGGGTATTCGGGCGTGCCAATCTGCAAGCAATAGTGCCACAGCTAAATACACAGCCGGCTTTCGAAGATCTTCGGGGCGCGCTGGTCTACCTCTTATAAAATTGTATAGCATGCCATTGTCGAAACGAGCGAGCAGTTGGTGTGACAAGGGCTTAGTAGAGGGCTTGGGGTAGTTTACTCAATTCATCTAATAACAGTCTTTGGTATCAAAGGTCCTTGGTTTTCCTCAAGGCCTTAAAGGTCAAAGACGTCTTCAAATACAAGAAGTCGGTGAGGACCTTCTGCCCTAATCCCGTGACCGTAGCCCTTGTGTAACCAGCCATTTCCGTGTAACAGTTGGGGAGCAAGATCGAAGCGCGTTAGCAGCTTATGATTATCTATTTCTCGCTCTCGGTCTATCAGGATATCTGTGCCCACGCCATAAGCCTTTAATAAGATTGGGCCTCCATGAATGCCCTCGCCAGCTAAATCATTTCGCTTGTGAACCAGTTTGATGAGTGTGTTGTTGATGCCACTTGTGACAGGCACGATGTGTATGTGATTGTCCTTCCATTCATGCCCGATTGCTCGGAGTAGACGAAGGGCTTATTTTTCGGGGTTCTTGTGGCTGTATTATTGCGCGAGACGTGGCACATCGCTTTTGGGATTTCCGTCTTCGCTTCGATCCTGTCCACCGGGTATTCTTATTAACTATACTGGCAAATACAGAGATAGTGTCTGGTATGATATTTCTGGTATAATACGTCGCCAGCGGAGTCTTGCCAGCGTTATGAAGCATCGATATGCTTAATTGGGCAGTAGCACCTGCTGCAAAACATCAATCATGAAGACACTCAGTTATTTACCACGCTACTTGATGAGTCACCAGGATTCAAGTCGGATTATGCTGACTCCCGGCTTTCAAAGCAGGCTCTGGGCAGGGCAAAGGGTGTTGAGCAGCGGCGAAGGGCATAAAAAGCGGTCGAGACAAGAGAACAGAAAGTCAAGGTTGGAAGGTGCCACCCATTTATAACAAGACCTGAAGTACCACCAAAATTACGACCTGGTGAAGCCATTGCTCGCGCTACTATTACGTGGCAAGTGATTTTAATCCAACCGGATTGCGTGTGCCCTGGATGGTACCAGCCCGGTTTTTGGTGGGCAGCCTATGAGCGGCCTCAACGGGGACCTGGTTCTGGATTGCTTCACCTTTTGAGCGTATGGCCGAGAGGAGAGAACGACTGAAGGTTGTTCTTGGATAGTTTTTTTCCTTGGAATTTTGCCTCGGACTAGATGGATGATATAACTTGTTCACATTACAGCCTTGAACATGTGCGTGATGATGCCGGCTGTCGCTTGCAGGATGTTCGAGGAATTGTTATGCGTGTGGGCAATGCATTGCCTTTGTGCATGTTTTTTGTTCTGCTTCGCTGAGGTGGGAAGTTAAATAGATGGTATCCCAGTAAAGGTAATTGCATAGATTTCGTTTGAGCAAAATATCCCCAGAGTTCCGATGGATAAATGAGTAAACCGTGCGCCATGTGAACGATAGAATGTTCTTAAAATACTTACTCAACTCCAATATTACATGTGAACACCAAACATAGACATGGACTCGACAGCTTGAGACCTTTAGACCCGCCACTTATATAGTGGTGGGAGTTTTTATTGTCTGTAAATTATACAAAATTACCTTTGCGTTATCGCCGGCTCCACGTAATGGTTGCGCTGCCATCTGGTAATTGTATACCTGGAAAATCGAAACACCGTAAGAGCGTTTTCCAAGTCCTATCTTCTGTAAAAGACGGAAATGTTTCAATGACTGCAGGTCGTGGAATTGAAAACTAGACTAGCTTATTACATAGAGTATCCTATCCTCCCAAGATATTACAAGCTTAATATATCCTGATAGCTAACAGCATAATATGCGACAATGCCATATTAGCGGTGAGACCAAAATGAAATAATCAATAGTGCGCGTCCTGCTACTAAAGGCTTCACAATTATTCCCTTGCAAATGGAGGCCCTGATGCTTTCCTGATGCGTTCCAGCAGACGATGAGTCCTTGCAGCGGATTCAAACGTAGCATACTCAGTATTATCGCCTTTGGCAATAGCATCATAAAGCGATGCAACGTTAGCACCAAAAGGAGCAACCTCATTCGCGAGTGGCACCCTGTAAGACTGAAAGTCAATGTCCTGCACAGGCTTATTTCCAATCTTGACCTGTATATGGGCCTCTTTGTCCATGACGTGCCATAATCCCGGGCCAGTAACGATAATCTCTCCCAAAGTACCAGAAATAACCCAGCGTATACCCACCCCATCAGCGGTAGCCGGCGGTTTACGGACTAAGAGAGACGCCACTGCGCCGAGTTCGGTGATTCCCTGGACAAGTATATGATCGGGAGACGTTTTCCGATATAATAAATCGACAACTTGTCCGTCAGAATCCACTATAGGCACTGTTTCGTAGTGGGATTTCAATATAGTTTGAACTTCCGAAAAATCACCCAAAACAGTGATAAAGCTGTCGAGGACTATTCGAGATAGTATGAGTAGTGTAAGCACCTGTCGATAACGTTTCGAATTATAGACTCACGGTGTCCAAATATAATGTAAAACTCGTTGCCCCCGCGGTTCATATCGAGGTAGTAAAGCCCCGTCCTGGGGCCAAGTGTCCATACCAAGCTGGCTGGATGAAGTTAGGACATTCGAACTGAGGATTCGACCAATGTGTCCGCTCGCGACAATATTCTTCCATTTGAGGGTGATAGGAGCGGCCCTACTCTGGAGTCCCACGACAGCTTGAACGCCAGACTCCTTACCTAACTTTGTCAGGTACTCAACTTCGTCAGGGTTGGCCGCCAAAGGCCACTCGACGAACACATTCTTTCTACCGAGAAGAGCTGGTTTGACTAGCTCTAAATGCCGCTGAACGCGAACACAAACAACGACTAGGTCTATATCTGTATCGTTGGCAAGATCCGCGGCACTTCCATAAGCTTTTGTTGACGATGGTAAATTATGAAAAGCGATAGATCGCTCTGCAAACTCAATAGTAGAGTTTGCAAGTGCTATATCCTCGTGATCAGGCGATTTTTGCAAAGCGGACAGATGGGTTGAAGCAGCCCATATTCCGAAATTCGCGTTCCTCTGCGGCGTGGACAGGCCAATTAGGCCAACTCGAATTGGGGCCATAAATGAAACGGCGCGAGATAAGAGTAAAGCAGATAGGAGCTGTTAACGAGTCTAGTAGCCCTTTTATATCTTGATGTTATTTACAAGTCCGCTACTAGTAGCGTAATTCTAATCTTGAAGGCGATTAATAAAACTATTTGCGGAGTTTAACTAGGCGGTACTAGGACACGCGTAATCTAGCAATGCCGAGGGCTGCGCGATCCACGGTATCCGTCCTTGGTTTCCGTGGTCTCCGAAAACCTAGGCTCTAGAATTAGCAAAAGTCCGCGTGAAGTTAATACTATTTACAAATCCGCTGCTAGTAGCGTAATTTTAATCTAAAAGGTAATTAATAAGATTTTATGCGGATTTTACCTAGATTAATAATAATATTAAAAACTTATAAAAACCTACTTTTTTCCTATACTAATCAGCGTAAATATTAGCTATTTTATAATATAAATTATTATTCCCTTTTTTATACTCGTGTGTGCAAGAAGGCAGGTAGGCTTTGCTTTAGGAAGAATATAGAGCGTAAAAAGAAAAGATAAGTAATTAGATCTATAAACCTACGCGTTATAATTACCTCGACATAATATCAGGCACTCTAACTATGTAAGAAAGATCTAATAGTAGTATAAAATAGCCCCTATACATTTATAATTAAGCAGAGTTGTGCTTAATCAGCTCAGCAGTAAGCTCAGCCATGGCATATAGAGTGCTAGTCAAGTGACCGCAGACTTGATAAGGAAGAATGGAGGCATCAACCACACGGACGTTGGAGGTGCCATACACCTTTAGCTTGTTATCAACAACACCTCCCTGCTCACGGGGCATCATGGCAGCAGTTCCCACAGGATGGAAATTCGAGCGGTCTATTAATATAAACTTTAGCTATAGCCATGACATATTTCGCTTGGTCAGGAAACTTACAGTGCCCGTCTAACAGCCATTCTTTCCATGCAGCATCAGAGGCATCATCACCGACAACGGCAGGATCGGGAATAGTCACACCCTCGACAAGCTTCCCAAGCGGTCCAGCACTAAACGAGGTGCGGATGTACTTGGCCACCGCAATCATGCTGTCTAAATCCCAGTCCAACATAAAGAAGTTGGGGTTAATAATGGGCATCGCGGTAGGGTCAGATGAGGAGATGTGCACGTTGCCGCGAGCAAAAGGCAAAAGAGTCCAGTATTCGGAGGAGATGGCGTTATCTCCTCTGGCGCTATAGAGGATCTCAGCGATGGGGGTACGCTGCTTGAAGATAAGGTCGTACTGGACCTGAAACAGCGCCTCCAGATCTGAAGCCTTCATGATGCCGTTGCTGACCTCGGCGGTGGCTCTGGCATAATCCTTTATTTTCTTTTGCATTGAGCGCGCTAGGGAGTCAGTCTGGTTGCCGTAGATGTCGTAGACGTTGGGGTAAACGACGTGTGTGGCGCTGGTCATGTTGGCCTTGATAGCAGCGCCCGACTGGGCGTTGGTTTGATCCTGGAGGTTCTCGCCCACGGTGGGAAGATTAACCTGGACCGGAATTTTGTGCTTCTCAAGGAGGGTAGCATCACCAATACCGGACAACTCGAGGATCCCTGGCGACTTGAGGGCTCCAGCCGAGACAATAACCTCTCGGTTGGCAGACACAACCGACGTGGTTCCGTTTGCCAAAGTAACCTCGACCCCGGACGCGGTAACGTGGTCACTATTGTTAGCCTTATCCTGCCAGATAATGCGGTTGACAAAGGTGTCCACCAGAAGGTGTAGATTTTGGCGAGAGGCAACAGGCCAGTAGTAGGCGCGGGCGGCATCTTCACGCACGTTGGCTGCCACGTTGATGGTGGAGGGAAAGATGTTGAAACCGCGCATCTTTCCGCCATTGACATCCTCAACCCAGGGGATGCCTAGACCATTCATGGTGGTATTGAGAACCCCGGTGAGGTCATTGTCGGGGATATCGAAGAAACCCACATCCAGAGGGCCGGACTTGCCGTGAACGGAAGCATTGTAGGATGCGCCCTTGGAGACCTGGCTCTGGCTGGGGATGGTTAATTTCTCACTTTGCAAATAGTAGGGAAGCAGCTTCTTCCATGTCCAGCCCTCGTTGCCGATAGTCTGCCACGCATCAATCTGGACGTCTTCGGCACGAGTGTAGGCCATTCCTTGATGATAAGATTAGATCGACTTGTATGCAACCTCGAAGAAACTGCTAATTAGGAAGGGGGGAGTACCGTTGATAGCACTAGTTCCAGCCACCGCTTTACCCGCTCGAAAAACCAACTCTTTATTGCCCCCATAGGTCTGGTTGACACTTTTATATTGCCAGTCGATATCCGTGCCGAACGCCAGTCCATATCCACCAACGTCAGTGACATTGGCGTTGTTGAGCACCGATTTACCTGCCTCGATGACGAGGACGGAGACATTTCGATCTTCTGACAAGCGGTTAGCAATAACCAGGCCGCTAGTTCCACCACCAATAACAATATAGTCGTATTTGGAAGCGGTTTTGATCTGGCGGGTGGGACAGGCCAAAGTGGCAGTTAGAGTACTGAGAAGAATAAGCGGACGAAACATGGTAAAAGATAGTAAGAATGATATTTGTTGGGAAACAAATACTATTGCTTCCCCCGTGCGGTTTTATTTTATATCCCCAAGATTACTAAACCCATCTTAAACTATGAATTGCTGAATTTGTCAGAACCAGTCAGCAACAGACTCCTTCTATCTAGAGTCTTCCTGCCAGTGGAGACTGTCATGCCATTAACATAAAAGTCGGACGCAATTGCATGAAACACAATCTATGAGCCGGCAATTTTCCAATCGCCCCAGCTACATCGGTCCGATTTTCTTGGCGATCGACGCGTCACCCAGCCTCAGCAAGTCTCTCCGATAAATTGCAGGATCAGGAGAAGCAGGGGCTAGGCCTGTATCAGGGATATTCGCCTCCACCTGACTAAACTTTTGTCAGATGACCCGCAACCTTCCATCGAATGAATTCTGACTTCTAGCTTGTAGCATAATGTAGATTAACTGCGATAGGAAAGTGTCAACAGGCATCGATAGGTGCCGAGATCCACAACCTCTTATCTGCGGAAATATCCAAAAATCGCTCAACATCACGAGCCTTGTACTGTGAAACCCCGAAAAGCTATAACCCAACAGGGCCTTTAAAGATAATTGCGAACTCTCGTATGAAAAGCCTCGCCGATAGATACAGGGCCTGAAATTATAGTCCAGACACGCCTTGGAACTCGGTTTAATATCCGCTTTAAATTAGTCCCAGCTCGTCTACTTTACTCGGGTCTGGTCTATCTTGCAACGATCTGGCCCAAGGATTTGAAACTAAAGAAACTATTATATATTATTGCTCGCCTAGATTAAAGCCGGGACAGTATGCTTGCAAACCCCTTTCGGATCAACCTCTGCTTTAATCCTTTTTAGTTCAGCCAAATTATCACCGTATATTTTGTCCAGGTCTAGGAACTCCGGGGCCGTGAGCGGGAGATATGTCCCTCTCATGGAGTTCTTGCTGGCGAAGAAACGATTTCGAGCCTCAATAGCCCATCTCGCTGCTTTTTTAGACGATTCATCATCGCTTCCATAGTCCAATATCTCAAGCATAATATGTGGCTTCCGGTAGGGAAGGACAGAGGCGGGAACATCATCCGAGCAGGAGGGGCTATCAGCGCGAAGAATATGCATGTTTATACCACCGGTACATCCGGCTGGAACAGTGGCAGCTGATTCAGCCAGAACCTTTAAGAAAAACACGGCCAATGCACTACCAATTTTGGTGGTTTCTGACGCGGAAACAGGCGGGCAATTTGCCAAGGATCCAACGCCGCTTTGAGCCATGCAACTTGGCCCATTGGCTGACCGTGTTGGTCCATGTTCAGCGAGGTACTATATGGTACTCACTCCTCATTGGACAGGATTAAGACACTGGCAGCTGAGTGTGTTGGTCAATTTATTAGAACTTTGAACCAAGTTCTATAGCGTGTCTATACAACATGGTGCAGGGGCATTATTCCAGCTAAGTGTGCGATTCCTGGTTATCCTTCCTAGTCATTGTTGATGCTTGGCCGAAGGACTTCGACATGCCTCTGTGGCTTTCTACAAGCCTTGAAATTAGTTAGAAAATAGTGTAAGCAAAGCTCAGAGAGGACCAATAGAGTAAACAGTTCTGCAACATCTTTTCCATCACGATGACTTTTCAATCCCCGTCGGCGAGCGGCCAAGTTCAAGTAACGAGCTGGACCTGCGTCTGTGCTAATAGGATATATGTGCAGCAGGCTATCTATAGTAGGTTTAGCAAAAGGGTTGTTGAGGAGATGCAGAAGTTTCGCGTTGGAAATAGCTGTGATGGCACTATTACCCATGCCCCCTGAGCATTACTATCAACATGAATGAAGAACCTTCTAAAGAATAGAGGAATAATAATGATACTTTTGCCAAGAATCTTAATTAATAGCGAGTCTTATAACGTGAAAAACAGCGCTGGATGGGCAGACGTTTCTATAGCCAACTCCCATGTTGTCCTTCAGCCATCTCAATTGTCCCGCTAGTCTAAGGATAGATTGACTCAACTGTTCTATGTAGTAGCCGTAACGGCATAGGTGGGTGCAACAAAGTCCAGTATGCCCTCCTCGCCGCGAGTGTAAGGATCTAGATACACTCTACACTCTGGTCGGTGTCCCGCTCCATCTTCCAATGCATCCAAGCCCGAAATGCGCAGAATGACGTAGACCTCTGACGGCGTCGCCGAGGTAACCCGCAGCTTCTTTGCCTGGTCCGTGTTAGCCCAAAAGTCGGCGGAGTTGCTCCATGACTTGACAAACCTACCAACTTGTACTGACCGCCACTCAAATAGAAGGTGGTACTGGGATCCCGGCTCGTTGTGCTTTTGACTTCTAGTCGATATATGGGCATATTACCATTGTCACAAACCGTGGACAGCCACACGGGTGTGTCGTACGGGTGCTGCATCTGTAGGAAGTGGCTGGTGAGCGCGCCCTGAGTATCCTTATAGGTAAAATCTGACACTTCGCGGCCGAAGGCCGGGAAGCCAGCCCGAGAGCGCAGCGAGCTGGTCCAGTTGTCCTCGCCCGTGAAGTCGGGTAGTTCGAGCGTATCGTGTAGCAAGGTGTATACCTCGACCAGCGTGAGCTTCTGACCTGGACAGATGTAGCAAATCACGGCGCCCAGGGAACTTACAAACTGTTCTCCCAGAAAGCCGACTTCAAAGTCACGGGCCATTTCCTCGTCATTACGATTCGGAATCAGCACTGTTCGTCGGCGCCGGTAAGGATCGACCGGGACCGGCATCGATACCGGAGCAGGCCCAGCGGCCTCGAGAGTCTCCCTCAACATGCTCAAGTTAAAAGCGCCTCCACTGCTCCCAGACTGACTGTTTGACCTCTCGGGTCGATACGATGTAGGATTCGCGTTTTGGGCGAAGGTTTGAAGCCGCTCCATGTTCCGCCTCCGGTTATATATGTTGTAAAGACCAGCGGCTGTACGACGGGATGTGACTGGTCGCTCAGTCGGGCTCTCATGTGCAGGTTCATGCAGAGGATCCTGCGAGTCAGGCCTGGGAGTGATCGGTCTAAAGCTAGATCGATGATGCACATTTGATCGTTGAGTCGTATGCGTAGCCCTGGATGCTGCAGAAGCACTCGTATACTCGATAACGGCCGACCTTGCAGAATCCGGGCTAACACTGCTGGCAGACGTCGTCGATGCATCTTCAGTATCATTACCAGAGCTGTCATCGCTCTGGATCTGCCAGTCTTCGTTAAGGAGTTGTGCCACCAAAGTATCTTTGTCATCGTCTGAGGCATCCCCGCCAGTGATGCCTCTTTTAATTAGCAAGGCCTCCAACGAGGCGGGTGGCACCTGCAGGATGGCATGAAGATCTGAGAGATCGGCTGGTTCAAGCTTTAATGCTTCCACAAGCTGTTTTGGAACGTCTGTTATGAGCGCACAGGAGCGCACATGCTTGTTTGTGGAGACGTAAATATCCAGCTTGGGAGTCTTGCCTACTCCAATACTAACCTTTACACTGGAACCTCCTCCGCTCTTCGTCACGGTAGTGTCTTCCAATGTATAGTGCGTCTTTATGTCTTCACTCATCCAGACTTCAACATTTTCTAGGAGCGGCCGAAGCTCGTAGGGTGACTCGCACTCGGCATACTCAAAGTACCTATACTAGGGTAAGCAATCAAGACGCGGCGTCCAATCGGACGTCTAGTGGGAGGACGAAATTAAGTACTTTACAAGTGCATCTGCACGAAGTCGGAAGTCTTGCATAAGGTCATGATGGTGTTCTAGGGGTTCGCGAAATTCTATCTCTGTAGAAACTTTCTCGGAAAGAAACGAGTCGCAACCTCGATTACAAAGCAAATCTGCAAGCTTTCTCGAGGCGTTAAAGTCGAAGTCGAGAAAGGTGTGGGTTTTAGTAAAGATGTCAAACAGATCCTGCCGGTCGTTAACGTAGAAACTTCCCATCGAGCAAAGGTCATGCAAACACGTTGGCGTTCGGCACGGCCAGCAGTCTTTGCCATCCAGTCGTTCTAGCACCCTACCATTCGGCCGCAGGCGAGCAATTTCCTGCAACAGCTCCTTAACGTGCTGATATCCGTCTTTGTCTTCCATGTCCATTGCTGGTTCTAGCAGTTCAGTGACTAGCATATCCATGGTTGCATTCGGCACTTCCAAGGCGTCTCGGAAGAGACCGCGATACTGATTCAACGAAGGCATGAGGGCATGCTTGTACCGCAGAACCGACCTGGTCCAGATGCAGTCCTCGATTGAAACCCATTGGCTATTTTGGTCGTTCATACCGCGGAGAAAAACGAGGGGTCTCTTCTTGAAAGCCTTTCTGTCCAAACGGTTAGCTACTTGGCGCATTCTGGGCGTGGACGCATGCCTTATCCTTTCTGGCCAGCTGCGCCGGCAGCTTTCAACTCTCTCGTAGAGTCGATACACTCGCTTCGGAGCATCGCGCTTCGTTTCCTGCATCAGTGCCAAGTCGGCGAGGAGTTCGCGGATGCCAGCGTTTGGGAGTTTGAGAAGTTTGGTGAAGAAGGCTTTTGCCATGGGCGCATGGTTCTCTATGGTGCTACGAATGGACATCTTGCTCTCCAGCTCGAGTCCATTCTGCGAAAACTCATCATCGTCCCACACGCACTGAGCTGGCGTTTTCCACTCGAGGGCAGACCCCGATGAAGGCACGGCGATGCAGGCCGTCTTGTCATCGACGTTGAACCTGTTCTTTCTGAGCAACAACAACAACATCCAATGTGCTGCACTGTACTCACGTGTCTGCGTGGTAGTTTTGCAGAAACACATACGCTTCAGCAACATCTGCCATTGTCGTCGACTCGTTATTCCGAAGCGTTTCGAGGTATTCTAGAGTTTCAGCACACGTAGCGTCTGGTACTTCTAAGATTTCTCGAAACAGCCGGTCTAGTCCATGGCCGTAGACTGGGTACAAGGCAGGCTTGGACAAGAGGTTCTTGGGCCCATGCCACACACAGCTCTTCAGGCGCTTATACTCGTCGTTTGGGAGATTTACAAGTTGATTACCAAACGCTTTCCTGAGGACTGTCAGCATCATCACTCAGCTTCAGGTTGCCAAGCATCTACGACAAAGACGGCCATCAAATACCCGTGTACACTTACTTGACCTTCTTCTTGTCGGTAGGCGAGAAAGCTCGCGACTGGATCGCCAGGTAAAGCTGTCGTGACTTGTCAACATCTTTGTGGTTGTTGAAGCCGGGCTGGTTGAGTATCCACAAGTAAAAGTCGAGTCCTTGATCCAGTCCGACACCCAAGACTGATAAGAATTTCCAATTCTCCGGGTCCCCACTAGGCAAAGTCAGAAAGTGACAGCAATCGGCATCACCAAACGCTCCTGTCTTCTCTACAAGAGTGGGCAAGGGGATGTAGGTTTTGCGCAAAGGAACTCGACATTCCGGTCTGCACATGAATTTATGACTTGCTAGTGTTAGATTTGCCGCGTTCGTCAAGTTCTCTTTGTAACAGTCCCAGTACTGATACAAGATAGACAAGATCTGATTGCTCTTTCTTTTCAGCAACCATTTGAAATCCCTGTGCAGCCCAGAAGCGACATTGAAGCGAGGGACCAACGCCACACCGGCTGTATCTGCCAGCCATTCTGCCAGCTTTTCTCTATCAGAAGAACCGAATTCTTCAAAGTAGCGGCTGTCTAGAAAGTATGCCTCGCTGTAACCGGAGAAAAGTTGTTGTAGCTCGCCACTAATGGAAGTGTCGACATATGTCGAAGTACCTCTTCGCAAGTCCTCGCTATTAGAGCACACAAAGTATACCTTGTCCATGTCACCTGGTCGCAGGTGCTCCTGCATCCTGTAGAGGTACTTGAGCTGAGCGATGAGATGAATAGGCTTTGCCAACCTAAAGTCGATGTGGTAGTTGATGATCCGCTCGACTACATTAGGGGCATCACAATCCTTTACCCCAAGGAGTCCAAAGAGCTTTCTCCTCTTGGGGCAAGTGCAAGCTTCTGCGTCGACCAGGGATAGTGGCAGTCCAGGGGGGATGGTCGTGCCCAAGCTTGACGGAAAGTAGATTGGTTCACATTCAGAAGGGGGACACCTCCAGGTACCATCGGCCAGAGGAATCAGGGGAATGGTTCTCAAGTCTCTGGCATACTTTGTATGATCCAAGGGCTCCTGTGGCCCGAGAATCACCTTGGCGAGATCCGAGTACCACACCTTGCTTCGCCCCCTAATGTGAAGCAAGCTTTCATCGTGGAGCTCTTGGAGCCTGTGGCACACCCATCGCCAGTTAGGGGCAGAGACGCCCAGAGACAAAAGCGCTTCGCGGACTGGTTCGGGATAATCGGGGGAGACGTAGTCGCACATCTGCCCAAACATCGGCTCACCATTGCTGTCATGCGCCCAGTCCAAGAACATTAGGTGTTTTGGCTTTCTGACACTACCGGTTCGGTCCTTGATGACGATCGCTCCACGAAGGTGCTTCTTTATCCTTTCCGTTATGCTGCGCCAGTACGCACTCAGGCCACTGGTGTCGTTATGAAGGTAAAGTGGCCATCTTTTTGATAGCTCGTCCAATTTGGCGTCTCCTCCGTTGAACTTGCCAATGGCTGCTTCAAAGGCCCGGGGAATCGCGTGTGCAATGTTTTTGTTCCAGGAGCTGTCTTCGTCGACTGATTGCCGATTCGACGTTGTGAGGAAATCTGCCTGAATGACAAACTGTGCACGGCGTTAGCAGGAGCCGTCGAGTGAGTGACCAAGATATTACGCACCCTGAAGCCAAAATTGCCGAGAGGCAAATATGCAAATACAAAGTTTGTCTTCTGTATCAACGGCACGTACTTGCGTGACTTATTCTTCACAGGAAATGCCAGCACAATGTCGGTATTTGTAATGCCTCGACGTTGTGTCTCGGTCCCGTCACAATCAATAGTAAATGGGTGTTTGTACAGGTTGCGTCTTGTGTCGGCATCTTCGTCTTTGAGCGATACAAAGCCAGAATTGGGTGTCCAATTGGCGCGATGAAAACGTTTTGAGATGGCCGGTACGCCATCCGAGGAGGAAGTGAAGAGCCTGAGATGGATTCGTTCTATCTGCCGTAGGAACAGAAGGAGGCCAGGGTCAATGGCCTCAACGTCGTTTTGGAGCGCAGTTGAAAAGTCTGTCGTCGGGTCACAGATGCGATCCAGGATGATGGTCGTCTGATGATTTTCTTGGTGACGGTCAAAGAAGCCTTGATCCCACTGCGGCGTAATCATGCCCAGTTCTCTCGTCTGGTCTAATTGGAAGTAGTAAGGCGGAGAGCGTATGTGCGCCCGCTTGGCGAGCTTGAAGACGGACTTGAAGCCAATTCCCTTTTCGCCCGTGTATCCTCGGCCAGGCGTTTTGGAACTTCGGCCCGTCCGACACAGTGCCAGAATGTTGTCTCTGGAGAAACCTTCTTCATTGCATTCTATCTTGACATGCTTGGGAAAGACGGTGATGAAGACTGTTGGCGTTTCGTCCTTGGTATACTTGGTGTCGTCGGCATTCTGAATTACTTCCATCAGGAACCGGGCTCGGTTCGTATACAGGTCGGTTGATATGCTATAAAGGAGTCATTTTCCATTACATGGCGAGCGTCATGGAGGGCCGCGGAGGAGCTCTCACATTCTCAGTGCCTTTGCCAGGTCTTGACGGATCTCCTCGCCCCCTTGAATCGCTTGCAGCATTCCCTTGCGGCCATTTTTTGCCTCCTCTTCTGCCTCTCGCCTGAATGCGTCTGTAAAGGTTCCCTTGCGCCCCGCTAGCTCCTCGATGAATGCGCGGGCGTCCTCTGTAATAGATACGACGTCTGAAATTTCACCCATGTCGCTGCAAAGAAGATATTGGAGGAACGGACTAGTCTACAGAGCAGCCTCAGCTGTTTTGTTTAGAGGTTGCGGAGGCGGGGAGTCTTTGTCACAAATACGATTGACCAACATTGAAGCGCGGATGGGCGGAGTAGTAGGCAAGGAGTATCTGAAGCCAGGACTCCCAAAAATAGGTTGTCACTCAAAGAAGCCAATCAGGCAGGGACAATATGTTGACACTCCTGCAACATGAGACGAGACAAGGTACCAGTCCCCAGTCATGGAAGTCTGACCGAGGCTGAAATCATAGAGAATAAGGGCTGTGGACAGCAGCGATTGGCGTGAATGCGCAGCCCTCATCTCGCAAGTGTCTCATACGTCGCGGGTGGCCAACTCTTGACTGGATTCGGTTGTCCCAGCTAGGGCCGAGCCGCGCGGGGTTGACCGGGTTTGTTCCAGCCCCGTGGAGAGACCAGGCGGCAAGTAGTGGCGTCAGTAAATGACACCTGGGCTGGCATCTCCACGGCCTCAACTTCCAGGTGTAATTTTATTTATATAAATTATAATTTCTTTTATAATTTAAATATAATAATTACTTTAACTATTAATTTATTATTTACTTTACTTATATTATTTTATAGCTTTTATAGCCGGCTTAACTTATAGCTTGCTTCCTGTATATAATTAAGTTATAATAGTATATTTAACACGTTATAATACGTGTATAAATAGTCTACTTTTCTAGTCTCTTATTATTTTTAGCCTAGTATAACCTAATATTATTTTAGATTTTATACTTATATAATACTTATATTATATTATTAGTCTTATAAGGGATTTACTATTACTAGTAATAATATATAAACTTAAATATATTAATAGAGCTAAAAAAAAAGAAAGCTATTAACTATATATAGCCTAATATTATAGCCTTTATAATTAGTATTATTACCCTGAGTAACTCTTATTACGAACCGCTCTACTACCCGGCTAGTTGTACCGGGGCGGAATAATATTAATCCAACTAATCAGGGTGGTTACAGGCCAGAGCAGATTAATCTGACCGAACAATGCCACATTGTGGGCCAATAATTATCATAATATATATATATAATTTTATTTAACTATAAAGCGAAACAATTAAAAATTAATAAATTAAGTATAACTCGCAGTGGAATAATACAAGCAAACCAACACTCGAAAAGTCCCTACCAGGTCGTAACATGAAATTTCACCAAGTAAAATAGCACCTTAAAACGCGGCACTTTCCACCCCGGTCAAGGTCTTCTCCCATGTGGTTTGAAGTTACCAGCCCGGCTCAACCATATTCTATTGCCAAAGCAAATATCTTGTGCCTAATCTCCAGGTGCCTCGACCAGGCCTTTTATACTCCGTGGACCGACCTCAGGCTGGGAAGACGCCGTGGCCTTGAACCAAGGTGCCAAAGCCAACGCATACGCCGGGGCAACGCGTTCCATCTTGCCTTCCGGGTCCAGCACTTTTTCTACCTCGGTGTGTTTGTAGAAGGCGGCTATATTTAACGGAGTCCACCCTTGGTTGTCTTTGGGTGCCCTGTCCTGTACGCGTTGCAACACAAGCAGCAGCGGCGCAACCTTGCCTCCGAAGGCAGCTGAGTGCAGTGCCGTCCAGCCATACGAGTCGACGGCATCCACAACAGCACCTCGTTCTAACAGGACCGTCGCCGCCTCAACATTGCCCGACTCCAAGGCTCGGTGCAGGAGTCGCACGCTATTGTGCGAATGTTCCACACTGAGACCGCCTGCTAGGAGCTGCTCCAATACAGCCCCAGACTGCCCATTCCGGACAGCCTCCCATACCGGATGCGCGTCCTCTGTCAACTGACCGTATTCGGCGCCGGGACCGTATTCGGCGCCGGCACCACGCAGGACAGACATGACGGCGGGATTCCCCCATCCAATGCTCAATTCGACGAGCGAGTGGCCGCCAGCATCTGCCAGAGAATAGCTGGCCCCCAAGTCCAGTAAGTACTGCATGACAGCGGTCTGGCCGCGCAGCGCAGCTGTCATGAGAGGTGTGTAACCAGCTGCGTTCCGGCAATGGATGATGTCCACCGACTTTCCGGAGAGAAATTCTAGGCTCTGTTGAGAACCACATGCCGCAGCGCTGTGGGCAGGCGAGTTTCCAGCCAAGTCTTGGGCGTTGAGGTCTGCGCCGTGACTGCTCGCTGCTTCGAGTAGTTCCCTGCCCATTGAACTGGCGCTCGCTGCTTGATGTGTAATGCGGCTGCCATCTTTATTCTCTGCGTTGATGTTCGCGCCGTTGTCGCATAGTAGATCTAGGACGAGGAGGCCGCTACTTTTGGACATTAGGAGCATATCACGATGGCTCGCATCGGCAATCATGTGTAAAGGAGTCAAATGCAAATTTGAGAGTGCATTGACATCAGCACGGCTTTTGATTAGCCACGAGACAATCTTGTCGTCGAACAGTCGTGCTGCGACATGTAGTGCTGAAAGACCATCTTTGTCAACGGCATGGACATTGGCCTTGCCCTCCTTGAGCAACCACTTCACAATGGCATGCTGTCTTCCTTTAACGGCATGAAATAGCGTGGTTTGTCCCTTATTATCGCGCATCTCGAGACTGCTACCCTTTTCGGACAACTCTTTCACCCGATCCAGGTCTCCGATACGGGCGCTAAAGTGGAGGGATTGTAGGTTAAGGGTATCTAGGCGGCTAAACTTCTTGTCACCCTTTAGTAGTAGGTTGATTGTTCGCTCATCACCACCATCCATAGCCCAGTCCAGAGCCGTTTCGAGGGCCAGATTTCGTGCGTTGGGCTTGGCGCCATGTTGGAGCAGTGTCTGACATATTGATGAGTGCCCACCTTTCGCAGCCCAGTGTAGAGGCGTGGCGCCGTTTTCATCTTCGTACAACAATCCCTCCTTCGTCTCGATGAGTATATTTGCCGCTTCCACGTGTCCATTTTGGATGGCCATCACCAGAGCCTCACCGGACGCGCCTGGGCTATTTGTCTTGCCTTCACTCCTACCAGCCTGGAGGATGTTGCGTAAGGTATCCACATTGCCGGATCTCGCTGCCCATTTCAAGACCATGGCAGTAGAAGTTTCATTAATCAAATACTTGCCATCCTTTTCGACGTCGGTCTTGTCCTCTGTAGGACTCCCTGCCACAAATCGCCGGAATATGAAAAGAGTCAAATCATACAGTATGCGGACTGGATACCTGACGAGGGCTATGCCGATGGAAAAAACGCGTCGTCTGGAACGCAGGATAGAATAGGCACAAAAGACCAGGGCCATTAAAACGAGGGATACATATATGTAGTATTGCCAAGGGGACCGGTCCGTGAAGATTTCGATTTGCATGCTGAAAAGCGCCTAGATAAAGTTAGCAAATATTCGGCATACAGAATGCATGTAGGGATACAATACCGAAGTGAAAACGAGTGGGAGGAATATAAACTGCAAAAATCAGCGTTACGAAGGAAATTGAGCGAGCCTGAGCAAGTACTGACCGTGATCCACGTTAATCGCCTGATGCTCTCATTCTGATCCCTGGATCGATAGCCTTCGTCAATGGATATCAGGTTTGTGACACGCTGAATAAGGCTATCTGTCTCTTGCATTAACTCGGTCTGTATTCTAAAGTCTACGGCCTTAAGCTTTTGCAAGTATGCAGAAGCAAGAGATAGTGTTTCGAACTGGTTCTCACGACCCTCAGCCCACCTAGGGTCGCCATATACATTTTCTAGGAATTCAAGGCGCTGCAGTTGGGTATTCAAGACCTTGCGGAACTCTTCCCAGTGTTGGGCGGCAACGACCAGGCTCCGAACGACGCTGCGGTCTGTACTGAGACGCTCTTCGAGCACCTCGACGCGCTACAGGAGTTGAGTAACGAGCTTGCTGGGAGGGCGATGGAGGGTTGAGCAGACTCACGAATGAAGCAAGAAAGCGCGAAGATGCGCTCAAGACTGAGTCCCAGCCGCCAATAACATTGTCGAGCTGACTAAATACGTAGCCAAGGGGTGTTCCCTTTACTTTGACTTCGCTTTCGTAGTTCTGGTAAATAAGAGCATCGTATGCGTAAATGGTTGTCTCGGACCTACGAGATCGAAAACGAAAAATTTGCATGTTCCAATCGGCAGAGTAGAAGTCGTATCGGCTGCATCGTAACAAAGGGGTTAGTAGGCCATCATGATTGGCCTCGACACAACAAAGTACAAGTCATACAGGAGATGAGGCCTTCTCACCTTGTGCCTGCCGATATGCTCATAACGCCCGTTTCTGATTCCACCTTTGGCGAGGGGGATGCTGGCACTAACGGCTTAATGGGCAGGTAGAAGCGTAGGTTTTTAGAAAGCATGTAGTGCCCGCATAGTTGACCGCCATAGCAGCGTTCGCAGGTGCACGAGCCGCTCCCCCATTGATCCGTGACGGGAAAGTTTCCCGAGAGCCCATAAGGAAACTGGGAGAAACGTGAAAAGTCCAGGTGCTCGAACAGTGGCATCAGAAGCGCAGTGGCGCAGGATGGTCCATACCGAAAGACACGGCAACCCTGGTCGTTGTCTGCCTCTGGGAAGAGGCGCAAGTAGGCAGCGAGGGCGTCTGCGTTAAGGAAAGAGTTGGAGGCACCGCTGTCCTGAACCCATACTCGCGAAGCGGCACTAACCCGGGACGCAGAGCTGGATGGTGATTGTGTTGCTGCTGTTGGCTGCGCCTGAGGCTGAGGCTGAGGCTGAGGATATGGCGTCTGGCTTGACGGGATTGCAGATGCATGACTGGGCGCCGCGGCCTAACACTAATATGCTGACGAACTATACTAGAGTTTATTAAAAATTTATATAGCCTTATAAAATTATAAAAAATAAAGTTTATTATAAAAGTTAATATAAAATTTATTAAAGTATATTTAATAATATATAATAATAAAATATAAG